GCTTGTGTTAGTTTTTTTTTTTTTGTTGTTGTTGTTCTGGTTTACAGATAGCAAGTACTTCCCTTCTAAACTAAATCACAAATTTATTTAAGGTAAGCATATGTATTTGTGAACACTGATAAACATCTTGTTCAAATTTTAAAATTTAGGTGGAGAATACAAATGAAGGACTAGGGATATAGCTCAGTGACAGACTGCATTGATTTGATTTATTCTTTTCAGATATATCTGAACCATTGAAGTCCTTATAATTGGTCTCTCTGAACCTACTTGTGACCAATTTGTTGGGTTTAATTTTTTTTTTTTGGTACTGGGGATTGAACTCAGGGACACTCAACCACTGAGCCACATCCCCAGTCCTATTTTGTATTTTATTTAGATGGGGTCTCACTGAGTTGCTTAGCCTTGCCATTGCTGAGGCTTTGAACTCACGATCCTCCTGTCTCAGCCTCCAGAGCAGCTGGGATTACAGGCGTGTGCCACCACACCTGGCATATGGATGTTTTAAATTTTGATTGTTTTTTTTTGTTTGTAGAATCCTAATTCAAATCTACCTAATCACTTTTTTTTAAGAAAAATATTTTTTAGTTGTAGATGGGGACACAATTCCTTTATTTATTTATTTTTATGTGGTGCTTAGGATCGAACCCAGTGCCTCACACATGCTAGGCAAGTGCTCAACCACTGAGCCACAACTTCATCTCTGCCTAGTCACTTTTAATAGTTTTAGTTCTTTCCTCATTTTTCCAATTCCCTTTTATTTGTGTTGTAACCTGTATTTGTAAATTGCAATCTCTTAAGTCTTTACAGACTTTAAATCTTTAATTCTTTAGCTTGTTTCTGCTGCCTTTTGCTCATAGTGACTTATCACATGTTCTTTCATTTGAGTCATGGACTCATATCTGCATCATAGTATTTGAAAATCTTGAACTTGGCTTGAGTGAAGATTCCACTAAAGAGGATATGCTTTTGCTTCTCCCTTTTCTTGGGCCCACTTAAATTTTTTGGTTTGGCATTTCCAAGATCATGCAAATAGTTTGTGCTGTAAAGCTATGTAGGAAACCTGTATATTTTAATTTTTAGGGAATGCCATGGATGAAGGCACAATTGGAACTACAAGCCAAGACTTTTGATGTCCATTTTAGTGTATTGTTATAATGTTATTCACCATTCTTAAAATAATTTACTTTTTTTAAGGACATATCTGGAGTATATATAACATGCTTACTTTATTTGATGACAAGTAACTACACAATATTTAATTTTTAAATTTTAGTTTATATTTATAATAAGCAGATTTTTGTGCCTTCAGAGAAGTTTATAAAATTTAACTCAGTGACATCGCTCAGTTTTTGTAAGAGCAAGCATAAGTTATATAGAAGGATGAGTAAATAGAATTTTAAACTTGTTGATTAGCATTCATAGTACATAACTCTGAGATGAGAACTTCAATATTGTTTTGCTACAGATTAATGCCAGGCTTTGTGCATGCTGGGTAAGTGCTCTACCACTGAGCTACATCTCCAGTCCTTTAATTTAATTTAATTTTATTTTATTTTGTGTGTGTGTGTGTGTTTATTTTTTAATGTGGCACTGGGTATTGAACTTGGGGCCTAGTGCATGCTGGGCAAGCACTCTACTATTGAGGTACCTATCCCCAGACCCTCTACATACTATTAATTTATTATCTTTTGAATTCTTTACAGAGAATGCAGTGATGAAAAATCCCATTCTTGTTCTAGAGCAGGGCTTTTAACCTGGGGTTTGTGCATACACTTCTGAGAGTCCAGAAACTTGAAATTAAATTAATGAGTACATATGCCTTTCTTTGAGAAAGAGGATTGGTATCTTTAAACCATTTCTGGAAGGATTTGTGTCTGAATAAAAAATGAAAAAGACTTATATGAAATGTGGTTTCAGAATAGTTTGGACTTGATTTCTTATGATCCCATGGATATATCAGTCCTGATTGACTTGACAGAGAAATTTTCTTCAACACTATTGGCTGTTTATTACATTCAGATTGGACTCTTTTATGTGTGATTAGGTTAGGGCATCTGATAATAGGGGAAAAGCAAATATTGGTGATTTGTGCCAATTCTCAATTCAAAACATGAACCTCTGCCTGTCTGTGTTATCAACTCAACATACATTTATAGAATTATATACGGTGGACTTAGAAAAAAAAAAAACTGGGGTCTATCACCTAGAGCTAAATTAACTTTCTTTTAGCCTCTTTCCCCTTTATTTTTTCATTGCCCCCCACCTTAAATCTTTCCATTTTGCTCCCCACTCACTTCCCGTGTATTTTATTCCTAATCTCCTTTTGCCTCCTCATTGTTGCCTATGGGTATAATGTAAATTTGAAGCATATTAATTGCTTTGTAAAAGCATTTATTCACTTAGCATTCATTTTTATTCACCTTTAGTTATTGAACTTATTATATGTAACATGTTTTGATTATAAAATAAAATTTTGAGTTTGGCTTTTTAGTAGAATTGCTTTGAACAAATAGCTTTAGTATTTATAGTTGTAATAGCTGTACTTCGAGTTAATTATGATGCTGGATGTTTTATGTCTCCAGTTTATGTAATGTTGCTATGTATATCTTTATGCTTTTTATTGCAAATACATTTCATTGGATGAAGAATCAGGATTATTGTTTTAAATTAATGGAAACATTGCCTCAATTCTTAATGTTTTGGCATCTGGTTAGGCTCCTCTAGTTGCAGAATGAAACCCAAGTGAGCTCAGGTGAAAGGGAATTGAATTATATGAAAGGAATCCCATGAAAATCTAAAGACAGGAAACATGATTCCTTCAGTTCTGTGTGGGACCTGGAAAAGGAATCTAGAAAGTCGTCAGAATCTTTGAAGAAAAAATGTTTCAGACTTTTTGGGGTTTTATGTTGTCGGTCTCCCTGAACATTTGCTTCTTTTCCTTTCTGTACAGGAAGACATGCTCTGCTTGAACATAAATTCACTTTCTTAAGCCTTAGGTTTGTATAGGACTGTAGCTTGCTTCATCAGGGCTTTCCGATTTTGACTTGACCTCTTCTCTCTCCCCTCCCTGCCACCACCACATCCTAGTCCTATTTCTCTTCTTCCTTCAGTACCACTTGCTGTTGCTGCTGTAAAGCTGTTGCTTCTTCAGGGTTAGTGTCTCCCTTAGCCTCTTTTCATCCCCAAACAAAAATTTTAAATGTGTTCCAACTCATTGGTTTGTCTTCTTTCCCAAACTCTCCCACCAAGTGAACAGGTTTTCTATACTATGGATGCTATGCTTAAAACAAAAGCAACCCCCCCMCACACACACACACTCCACCCTAAACCTCTGCTTTTTATAAACAGGCACAGTAAAAGGTGTCTAATAATTTAGAAATAGTTCATGTTAACATGAAGTTATCAGGGAGGAACAATTCTGTGTTAGGTTTCTTTTGCTATGTTGGTGATCCCTTATCCCCTTCAACTTGTTAAAATCTTAGTTGAGGGTTGTATAAATGTTATTTTAAAAATTGCTTATGAAAATGGGAAATGTTAAATGTCATTTCAGTCATCAAGATTTATAGTGCCTGTTGAACAAACTACTTTATCCTTAGGTTCCATTTTCATTTCTTTGCAGACTTGGGTCATTGCTGGTGAAACTTGAATTAAGCCTTATATTCAATAAACTTAGATTTATTCAACTTAAAAGCATGTTTTCTAGGGTTTAAAATAATTCTTAGGATAAGTGACTCTTCTGCTTAGGTGGAATTGGTTTCTTTTTCTAATCTTGTTTTTAACTTTTAAGACTGATAACTTAAACTTCAGGAATTCTCAGATTTGTACATTAAATATGCAAAAGCTAACTTGCTTTATTCCTAAGCATGTCCTGGGGTTTAATTACATCTGCATTTATACATCTTGCCTTTTTCGGTAACATATTTTAGAGGACATAAGAATTGAAGCCACCTTTATGTGGCTTTATATATATACTTAGAGGGATATTGAGATTTAGAACCTGAACATTAGTATCATTTTTACGTTGAGATGTAATTTTAGCAAAAACTACTGCTCAGGTCAGGAATATGATATCTATTCAAGGTAGATATGACCAGGTAGTCAGATCATATCTGTTTTCTTTCCTGTAGCTATTTGGTTAATGTAAAATTAGGGCTTATGCACTACCAATGAGGGCCAGCCCTTTTCTTTTTAGCATTTGGGTAGGCTATTGGTGACGAAGTCTTGCTTTTGCAGTATAACTTGTTTTATGCAGTAAGGGGTGCCTTGAATTAGCGAAACATTTACTTTGTCATGTATTTTATTGTCAAAGCCACAACCTAACATTTTGATATTATTATAATTCCATATTCTTGATGTATTCCACCACAACTTGAGTCTATTAGTAACAGAATAAACAGAATAAAGATGCTAGTAGTTAACTGAGTGGTCTTAAATCTACAAATGAAGGTGTGAACTACCTTTATTTTTTTTCCATTAAAAGCAAAATACTTTTAATGAATATCAAGTGTTGGTAATAATTGACACCCTGTCCCCGCTTCACATATACATCATTATACAACAAAAGGAAAAACGATAAATACTAAAACGTATCAAAAGTGGGGCTTAGAGTGTAGTACAGTGATAGAGCACATACCTAAGTACAGGAGGCTCTGGGTTGAATCCTTAGCATCACAAACAACCCCTCCCTCAACAAATATAAAATGATATTTGGGAGGAAAAACATTTCAGTTTCCTCCCAGTAGGATCTTTTCACATGGTTAACAAATGCAAGAATGTGCTTTAAATACTCTAAAATTTTTAGGTACCTCACATTTCCTTTTTAGTTTGAATTGTAGTTGGCAGAGTAATCAAGTACATGATTTAAATAACTAACTTGTTTACATTGTTTAGATTTATAGATCAGGTTAGATCTGAAATGCCATTTGAAAGAGCAAGGGTTTTGTAAATTTAATTTTTTATGAGACTGACTGAGGTTGTTTTTGTTTTTGTCCATTTAGGTTTTATAGGTTCATATTAATAAAAGCACCATGGAGTTTTATGAGTCAACATATTTTATTGTCCTTATTCCTTCAATAGTTATTACTGTAATTTTCCTCTTCTTCTGGCTTTTCATGAAAGAAACATTATATGATGAAGTTCTTGCAAAACAGAAAAGAGAACAAAAGCTTATTCCTACAAAAACAGATAAAAAGAAGGCAGAAAAGAAAAAAAACAAAAAGAAAGAAATCCAGAATGGAAACCTCCATGAATCTGATTCAGAAAGTGTACCTCGAGACTTTAAATTATCTGATGCTTTGGCTGTAGAAGATGAGCAAGTTGTACCTGTTCCATTGAATGTGGTTGAAACTTCAAGTAGTGTTAGGGAAAGAAAAAAGAAGGAAAAGAAACAAAAACCTTTACTTGAAGAGCAAGTCATCAAAGAAAGTGATGTATCAAAGGTTCCTGGCAAAAAAGTAGAACCTGTCCCAGTTACAAAACAACCCACCCTGCCCTCCGAAGCAACTTCCTCAAAGAAGAAACCAGGGCAGAAGAAGTCTAAAAATGGAAGCGGTATTGTAATATATTTAACTTCATTGCATGTTTGTAGTTAGATGAACCCAAGATTATTCTTTTTACTGTGTGTTTGCCTTCATTAACATTAATTGCTATTAGAAATTACTATTGATCATAAAATAACATTTTAAAATTCTTATGGAAAGACCTTTAATGAAAATTTTGTAAATCTGACTTTTTTTTTTATTAAACCACTAAGGGCTTATAGTTATCAGGAGTTAGAAATGTTTACATTTATTTTAACCAACTCTTTGTAATCAGTGTGATAAGAATTAAGGATGAAAAGATTAGTTTTGATCATATGTTAATTATGTATACATTTATCATATATCTGTTTTATGCTAGGTATTATACTAGGTACTGGGGCTACAGAGGTGAATAGTGCATTTTCCAGGTAGTCACATGCTAGCTGTTAATACAAACATAAATAGGTTATTATAATATAAAAAGTTTATTATGCTAATCTAAGTATGTCTAAACTAATGTAGAAATTCTACGGAAGACCACTTAGAGCAAGTTTTAAAGTTTGAATAAGTGCTAGCTAGGATTTTATTTTATTTTTTGGGCGGGGGGTAGATAGGAAGGGGTAAAATATGATTATTAATAGGTATGTTCAGTTGTTCATATCCATGGATTCTATATCCTTAGGTTCAATCAACTGTGGATTGAAAATATTGGAAAAAATTTTATCTGTATTGAACACATACAAACTTTTTTCCTTGCCATAAGAATATTCCCTAAATAATTCAATATTGTAACAATAGTTTATAGCATTTGTATTGTATTAGGTATTCTACATAATCTAGAGAAGATTTAAAACTATATGGGAGAATGTGCATAGGTGATATATTAATACTATGTTGTATTATATAAGGGACTTTAGCTTTTACAGATTTTGGTGTTGGGCAGGGGTTCTTAAACCTATCCCCCAAGGATATCAAGGAATATTGGTTTTATTGGCTTTTAAGTATTTGCTTGCTAGCTATGACCAACCATGGTACTAGAGAAATACTATATCTTTTTAGTGAGGGGAGAAGGACATGCAAACCAGTAACAAAATGTGTTTTATAAAGGAGATGTATAGAAGAAATACAGAGGCCAAAGCGATTTATGCAGAGGCCAAAGTTACTTATGGGTAGTAAAGGAGGGTTAGTCTTCAGAAAGGAGGCAGTGTTTAGCTGAGTCTTCAGTACTGCAGTCACTTCACTAAGAAATAGTGGGTTTTATACCCCATTGGCAGAATTATCATGTGTAAAATCACAGAGGTAGAAGATATAGTGTACTGTTGAGCCATGAAATATGAGGTAGGGAACAAAGCTGAAAAGAAAGCAGTACCTAGATCATGATGGTTTTTGTATACTGTCCCAGAAGCTGAAACTTTTTAGGGTAGATATTGCTGAAGATTTTTAAGCAGGTTAATTACATGGTCAGATTTATATTTTAGAAAGATCTCTTTGGCAGAGTATGAGGACAGATTTCATGGGGCAGTTATTTGATGTGGGCAAACTAATTAAAAGGCTGTACCTTTCCAACGTTAACATGTAAGCTGTGATAGAAGAGATAGAAATTAGAGAGGTATACAAAAAAAGAATGATGTGACCAAATACATTATATGTGTTGGCAGATAAAGGAGAAGACAGGATCAAAGCTGATATCCAAGTTCTGAGTTAGCCCAGGGTAGGCAAAAACTGTAACTGTAGGTTGAATATGGTCCTCTTCCTATTTTGTTGTGGTCTATGAGTCAAGAGTAGTTTTTACATTTTTTTCCTTTTGTGATGCTGGGACTTGAACCCAGGGCCTCATGTGTGTTAGGTAAGTACTCTACCACTGAGCTACCAGTCTTAGGTTTTACATTTTAAATGGTAGGGAAAAAAATCAAAAGAACAGTCAAAAGAGAAATGTAGAAATTATGAGTCAAATACTAGTGTTCATACAGTTTTGTTTGTTTTTTTGACACAGCCATTCATTCACTTACATACATCTGTGACTAGCTTTCATGCTGTGATGGCAGACTTGAATACTTGTGACAAAATCTGAATGAACTGCTGTAACACCTAAAGTATTTACTATCTGGCCCTTGACAGAAAAAAATTTTCCATCCTCTTATGGATACATGGTTATTAGCACTAAGATAGGGAATATTGGAGACATGGGGTGTGAATGGAAAGGAGAATGCTTTTAGTTTGTGGTTCAAGTGCAAATGTTAGCTAGTAAATGTTGGTGTGTAAGTGAGGGTAAGGCTATACAATACATTCAGAAGGCTTGAGCTTGAAGGTAATAGTTGAAGTCATTGATATAGATAAAATCATCAGGGGAAGTGTTTAAATTGAAGGTATTGAGAAGCAGTTCACAAAGGAGACTGTAAAGGAATATTATGAGTGGAATAATAATTTTGGGTGCTTTAGGAGAGAATTTTTTTTAATTGTAGTAAAATATGTAGAGTATAAATTCTGCCATTTTAACCATTTTTAAGTTTGCAGTTTTGTAGTGTTAAGTAGATTCACATTTTGTGTAATCACCACCAGTCATCTTCTAGAACTCTTTCTTCTTCTCCAGCTGAGGCTCTTTACCCATTTAACACAATTCCTTACTTTGCCCACTCTGGAAGCTACCATTCTACCATCTATGAGTCTTTAGGAAGCTCAGGTTATTGGAAAGTTGTCTTTTTGTGATAGGCTTATTTCACTTAGTATAATGGAAAGGAATTGTAAAAAAAGGTGAAGACATTAGAATGAAATGTTAAAGAGTAATCAAAGAAGGACTAATGGTTATTATATGTAGACTATGGCATTTGGGACACTGCGTACTTCAGTTAATCCTTTCATGGAATGGAAGAACTAAAAACCAGGGTGCAATTTGTTGGAAAATGATTGGAAGAAAAAGAAGTATATACTATTTTGTCAATATAAAAGGGAATGGGTGTAGGAGGCTGGAAGTTACAGTGGTGGTGAAGGATTTTATATTTTAAAATGATAGAGACCTGACTATGCCACAGGCTGTTAGGGAATGGTGCTAGAATGGGGTGTATAAGAAGAGGCAAGTACATAAAGAGCTGATGTAGTGGAGTAAAAATGCTGGAATGAAAAAATAGTGAGAGCATTAAAATTGTTATTGCATTTAAGATTTTGGTGGTGAAGCTTTCTAGAAATTATTCATTAATGATTGCATTGTCTGTGACATGGTCATTATTGCTGTGATAATTTTTAAAATTTTTTTCTGTTTGATAAAGATGATCAGGACAAAAAGGTGGAAACTCTCATGGCACCATCAAAAAAGCAAGAAGTATTACCCTTCCATCAAGASACTAAACAAGAAAGTGGATCAGGAAAGAAGAAGGCTTCATCAAAGAAGCAGAAGACAGACAATGGTAAAAATATGTAGATATATATATTATAAAGTATGCTAATTCTAGAGAAGTACATCAGGACAGGCACCCCGAAGACCTCATGCTCTTTATCCCAGTATATCATATGCTATAACAAATGTAATTCTAATACAAGTCTGAAATTCTCTGGCCTCGTGGCTTTGCAATGCTTGGATAGATGGGCCTATTACAAGTTTATGATGAAAAATTTATCTGAAAATTTAAAAAGTGAAGTATTTGTAAATGTTCTCATTCTTGGTTTTGAAAAATAATAGCATATAAACTATAGACAAAAAATATTCCTGAAATATTGCTGTGTTTTTGTACTTTTTAATATCACTTAAGATAATGGTTGAAGACATTTGTTAGTTCTGGCATTACCTTGTGTTGCCTATGTCCTAAACAAAATTTGGTGTATATATGGAAAGCATRAAATTAAAAATGACAGAGCAATCTTAAGGTTTCTGAAAATTTCAGGGAAAACTTGGCTATTAAATGTATATAGATTAAACAACAGGAATTGCCAAATAATATTAGGCTGTGGTATCAACTAGTACTAGAAAATAGTAAATTTGGAATGGAAGAGATGAAATTCTATTTGCATTAAAATTATGACATCTCAAATAACAGGTAAAAGAGAAATTTTACCTAAATATATTTGATAAAATTAAACATGATCAATTTTAAATAATAAAAAGGAATTACATGTGCATGAAAGTTTTTTTTTTTTTTTTTTCTCCAGAGGAAGGAATATAAACATTTCTATCTGGGTGTGGAAATTTGTATCTCTATTAGATGTCAGGCTAAATAATTACTCTTATTCCTCACATTAAATAAGAACAAAATAAGGAGGCTTCCTTCCTTCATTTTTAATGTTATTCTGGAAGTTTTGGGCAAGTGTTGTTAAGATGTACTATGGAAATCAGAAATGTAGCTATTAGAATTGAGAAGCTATGTGCAAGGAACAATGACAATGAGTTTTGAACTTAACATGTGAAAGTAATTTAATTAAAATTATCAGTTGGAATAAGAATTCAGTAAATTATTAGCATAAATAAAATTTAGTAGTTTTTCATGAGCACTAATTAAATGAGAATAGGTTCTTATGTTAGAAAAGACAAATGAGAACTAAGAGTGTCTAAGAAATATTAGATACTATTGGAGGTATACTGTCCATTTTAGAATATTTAAGTGTTGTTCTATAAAACAAGACTATTTTATTGTAAGTATATTGATTGATGCAATCAATTGATTGATGTGTTTTACTTATGATTTTAAACCAAATTGAGCTAATATTAGAGATTTGAAAACAGATAAGATTTATCATTGGATTTAAGTGTGTTTCCATGTTGTTTAATCATTTTTTTTAAAAAAAAACCCAAAATAATTATGATTTTATTGAACTTAAATTACAGTTTTGGTAGATGAACCCCTTATTCATGCAACTACTTATATTCCTTTGATGGATAATGCTAACTCAAATCTTGTGGTAGATAAGAGAGAAGTTATTGATCTGATTAAATCTGACCAAGTAGAAGGAATCCAGAAATCTGGGACAAAAAAGTTGAAGATTGAAACTGACAAAGGTAATATCCACATTGTCAATAATTAGTTACATTGTACTATTATATTTTTGAGTCATCATGAAGTCAAGTTCATATTCTCATAGAATCAGTGCATTGCAAAAGACTAATAGAACTCTTGCAGTAAAAGACCTGTTGGTAGTCTCTAATTTGTCCTTCCCAATGTTGTAGGCCTGGACACTGGAATTTGACTTGCTCAACATTCCACAGCTATTTTGCTATATGGTGACCTATTATTCCTTGCTACTATTACCTTCTGTGAGATATTGAGGCTAATTTATTTATTTATTTCTAAATATTTTGGTTTTAGTTGTGGTTAGACACAATACCTTTATTTTATTTATTTATTTTTATGTGGTGCTGAGGATCGAACTCAGTGCCTCACACATGCTAGTTGAGCGCTCTACCACTGAGCCACAACCCCAGCCCTGAGGCTAATTTATAACTGCCTTTTTTCTTTTTTTCAAATAGATTATTTTTTAGAGCAGTTTTAGGTTCACAGCAAAATTGAGTAGAAAGTAGAGTTTCTGTGTTCTCCCTTCACCCCACACATGCTCACAACCACTTTTTAAAAGTTGCAGTGTGATTTCAGCAACAGAAAAAGAGGCAACACTTCCAAACTCATTCTATGAGAGCAATATCAGCCTGATCCCAAAACCAGGCAAAGACACATTAAGAAAAAGAAAACTTCAGACCAGTATCTCTAATGAACATAGGTGCAAAAATTCTGGCAAGTCGAATACAAAAACATATCAAAAAGATCGTGCACCATGATCAAGTGGGATTCATCCTAGGGATGCAAGGTTGGTTCAACATATGGAAATCAATAAATGTAATTCATCACATCAGTAGACTCAAAGATAAGAATCATATGATCATCTCAGTAGATGCAGAAAAAGCATTTGACAAAATACAGCACCACTTTATGTTCAAAACACTAGAAAAATTAGGGATAACAGGAACATATATCAACATCATAAAGGCTGTCTATGTTAAGCCTCAGGCCAACATCTGTTTTTCTAAATGGAGAAAAATTGAAGGTATTCCCTCTAAAAACTGGAACAAGACAAGGATGCCCTCTTTCATCACTTCTGTTTAACATTTCTTGAAACACTGGCCAGAGCAATTGAAGAAAGAAATTAAAGGGATACATATAGGAAAAGAAGAACTCAAATTGGCATTATTTGCTGATGATACGATTCTATAGCTAGAAGACCCTAAAAGTTCGCCAGAAAACTTCTAGAACTAGTAAATGAATTTAGCAAATTAGCAGGATATAAAATCAACACCCATAAATCAAAGGCATTTCTGTGTGTCAGTGACAGATCCTCAGAAAGGGAACGAGAAAAACTACCCCATTTACAATATCCTAAAAAAAAAACAAAAAACAAACAAAAAAAAAAAACTTGGGAATCAACGAAAAAGGTGAAAGATCTAGATAATGAAAATTACAGAACCCTCAAGAAAGAAGTCAAAGAAGACCTTAGAAGATGGAAAGGTCTACCTTGCTCTTGGATAGGTAGAATTAAAATTATCAAAATGACCACATTTCAAAAGCACTATACAGATTTAATGCAATTTCGATCAAAATCCCGATGACATTCCTCATAGACATAAAAAAAGCAATCATGAAATTCATCTGGAAAAATAAGAGACCCAGAATAGCTAAAGCAATCCTTAGCAGGAAGAGTGACGCAGGTGGCATCACTCTACCAGACCTTAAACTGTACTACAGAGCAATAGTAACAAAAACAGTATGGTATTGGCACCAAAACAGACTGATAGACCAGTGGTACAGAATAGAGGTCACAGAAACCAACCCACAAAATTACAATTATCTTATATTAGACAAAGGTGCCAAGAACATGTATTGGAGAAAAGGTAGCCTCTTCAACAAATGGTGCTGGGAAAACTGGAAATCCATATGCAACAAAATAAAATTAAACCCCTCTCTCCCACCATGCACAAAACTCAAAATGGATCAAGGACTTAGGAATAAAACCAGAGACTCTGAGTCTAATAGAAGAAAAAGTAGGTCCTAATTTCGATCATGTGGGGTGAGGCCCCAACTTCCTTAATAAGACTCCTTGGCATAAGAATTAAAATCAAGACTCAATAAATGGGATAGACACAAACTAAAAAGTTTCTTCTCAGCAAAAGAAACAATCTGTGAGGTGAATGAGTGCATCCTGGGAGCAGATCTTTACCCCTCACACATCAGATAGAGCACTAATCTTTAGGGTATATAAAGAACTCAAAAAGCTAAACACCAAAAAAACAACCCAATCAACAAGTGGGCCAAGGACCTGAAGAGACACTTCTCAGAAGATGATGTACAATCAATCAACAGATACACGAAAAAATGTTCATTATCACTAGCAATTAGAGAAATGCAAATCAAAACCACTCTTAAGATTTCATCTCACTCCAGTCAGAATGGCAGGTATTATGAAGACAAACAATAATAAGTGTTGGCGAGGATGTAGGGAAAAAGGTACACTCCTACACTGCTGGTGGGACTGCAAATTGGTGCAGCTAATCTGAAAAGCAATATGGAGATTTCTTGGAAAATTGGGAATGGAACCACCATTTGACCCAGCTATCCCTTTCCTCAGTCTGTACCCAAAAGACTTAAAAACAGCATACTACAAGGACACATCCACATCAATGTTTATAGCAGCACAATTCACAATAGCTAAATTGTGGAACCAACCTAGATGCCCTTCAGTAGATGAATGGATAAAAAAAAGTGGCATATATACACTGGATGCCCTTCAGTAGATGAATGGATAAAAAATAGTGGCATATATACACAATGGAATATTACTCAGCAATAAAAGAGAATAAAATTATGGCACTTGCAGGTTAATGGATGGGGTTAGAGAAGATAATGCTAATCCATATATTAGCCAATCCCATATAACCAAATGTTGAATGTGTTCCTTGATATCAGGAGGCTGATTCATAGTGGGATAGGGAGAGGGAGCATGGGAGGAATAGACGAACTCTAGATAGGGCAGAGAGGTTGGAGGGGAAGGGAGGTTATAAATGATGATGGAATGTGATGATCATTGTTATCCAAAGTACATGTATGAAGACATGAATTGGTGTGAATATACTTTGTATGTAACCAGAGATATGAAAAATTGAGCTCTCTATGTGTAATAAGAATTGTGTAATTGAAAAAAGATAAAATTATCAAGGAAAGAATAAATTTTACCCTGGAGAACAGAGACAAAACAAGAATTTTGAGGAGTGAGGGTAGAAGTGGAGAACTGGAAAAAAGAAATAAGCATAATTAAAAAGAGTTGCAACCTCCATGTGAAAAAAACCCAACATAATGGGAGACTAAGGCTAAGGTTTTGTACCATTCTATTGATCCTGATTTATATTCATCATCTATGTTTAAATACTTAACTGGATAAGAAGAATAATGAATTCAAGTTGCAGATAAACTCTGGAAGTAATCTCTATAAAGTATTTTTTTGGGGTAGTACTACAATTGGGTTTAAGAAGATATAGTCAGTTTTCTACATTGTAGGTCATGAAACCATAGTTTTCATTCACCTGAAAAATGAAAGTGTTATATAAACATAATTCTGTCACTCAGAAAAGTGATCTATAATGGTGTTATTAAAAAAAAGAAAAGAAAAGAAAAAAAGTTGCAGTGTGACTGACATGTTAAAAGCCCTAGACTCCTTTGGGAGTAATGGGTGGTAGTTTCTTCAAGAAGGGGAAGTTGGTGCCTAACGTGGGAGCCCTGGGAGAATTGGGATGGTCAAATAAAGGAGGCATGGATTGTTCTTATGTCAGGATTCCATGTATATATTTGATCTTTGTTGAATCAGATTTTACTTTTATAATTTGGAATTTATTTTCTTAGTATTTTTAATGTTAAATGAAGATATTATGAATATATGTAATATAGATACTAGCGTCTAGTAGATGCTTAAATGATTTTTTAAAAAGGCATGCTATCATTTGTAAATTCTTAGTTAATGTAATCATTCCATAGTATAGATGATAAAACAACCACCCCACCCCTCTTTTAAGCATTTACTGTTATTTAACGTATAAATTACTTTCTGGGTCAGGAATTTTTGATATTTACCTTTGTTGAAGTTATTACTTTGTCTTCTAAATGCCGATTCCTTGTGTTTTTTTTTTTTTTTTTAAATTAAGAAAATGCTGAAGTGAAATTTAAAGATTTTCTTCTGTCATTGAAGACTATGATGTTTTCTGAAGATGAGGCCCTTTGTGTTGTAGACTTGCTGAAAGAAAAGTCTGGTGTGTTACAGGATGCTTTAAAGAAGGTAAGTGTGTTTTTATGGGCACATTTATGAGCAGTAATTTGAAGTTCACTCAGCAATACTTCATCCAGAGCAATTAATTATTTTCTACTTCCATTCTTTTTTTTTTTTCATCCACATTTTTTTTTTGTGGTCATGGCGATTGAACCAAGGGCCTGTGCATATGAGGCAAGCACTCTATAAATTGAGCTATATCCTCTGCCCCTCTACTTCCATTCTTAATACCTTAAGCCACATGGTCACATCTAAAACTTTTGGAATATCTTCAGAAATTATTTCATAGATTCATGTTAATCAGTCCACTTATTTAGTAGTATCATCTGATGCTTTGACAAAAAGTCAGTTGCTTAAAATAAGTAAGGTGATTTTAATGGCTTTAAAGTCCTTTGGCACTTGTCTAAGCTTTGCAGTGCTTTGCTCTGTCTAGACGTATTAAAGTTAGGGTTAAATGATTTTTTGACAGCATGTATGGAGGGTTTTTGTGATTGAAGAATGCATTCAAAGAAATCTAGGGGCTTTTGTTATTTGCAGTATGCATGTTTGTGTGTAGGTAATATTTCCCTTCAAAAATAAGTTATTTGCATTGTAGAATTACTGCTATGGCTGATAATTAAAACCTTATGGAGTTAACATTATTTTTTACAGGTTACACTTATCATAATATTATGTGTAGTATGTCATACTGGTAAAAGTTTTCAAGTGTTAACATACATGAGATAAGATGATATAGTGTCTGGTATTCAATTAGATGATTGACTAAACTCTCTCTGTTCTGAAAACATGTGTTCACACACATGTACACCTTCCCTGCCAGTTTACCTGCTTTAAAACCTTGGTTTAATTTTTTTCTTAAAATAAGGGCCACATTTCTTAAAATGTAATCTGAGTCATCACCTCTCTCCTGATTACCTACAGTAGTATACAAATGATGTTTCTGTTTTTCCTTTTAGCTCTCTATTTTTCCCATATAACTGCAAGGTAACCTTTAAGAGGTAAATCAGGTTACTTACTGCTGTAAAAACCCTTTGGTGCTTTTCTCTTTGCCCTTAGAGCATAGTCCTACTTACTTAACTACTTTTCTCTGAAGCCTCATCTAATGACATTTTCCCTGTCCCCTCACTGCTCAGTCCATTTTATCTACACAAGGTCTTTTTTGCTTCTTCTAGCATACCACATTTTTTGTTTATTCTGTCTTTCCCCCTTCCCCAGTTTCTTCTCGTGCTTAATTCCTCTTTCAAGTCTCCACCTTAATATCATTTTCTCATATAAGCATAACCAGTCTTTGCAGTGTAAATTGTTCTCTCTGTTCTTTGCTCTGATAACTATCTGGATGTTTTTTGTCATAGCTTTAGCAGTCTGTTCATTCTTTCAAGTATCTATTAACAGTGCTTTTTGTAAGTCTCTGGCAATTACAGTGTAGCATGCTGGTTAGACCGTCTGCATGTAGTGATAGCAATGGTTCAGAGTAAGCAGGGTTTGAGGGCAGTCAGTAAATGTGGTAACTCTAGGTGACTTTGATTACAAAAGCCAGATTTTTTTTTTTAATGAAGAACTTTCTTGATATTCTTGACTGAAGAATTTGTTCTTTGATATACTGTATTATAATAATTGGTAAGTACCTATCTGAAGAGTTCTTAGTTATTTCTGGGGATTGGGAAAAGCTTTTAGCAGTAGAAAGCTTCCGGGTTAAGTTATTACWTTATTCCCTAGCTGTTTAAAATTAAAAACAGTGCTTTAAGAGTTTCTCTTTTGATTAATGATGTTGCTTGTGACTTATGGGCCTAAGAGTAGTTATTTTATTGTCTGAGACAGCTTTGAACTCTAAAGATTGAATGATAAATCAGTCTACCCTTGATTTATATTTTTGGTAGGTCTAGAAAGAAGTTTGTGAAAGTCAGCATTTAATATAGGGAAGGTGTTTTGAAGTGTTCACATTATCTCTTCTTCTTTGGAGCTGTTTGTCCTTAGATTAAAATCTTGCTTGGTTTCTTAGAAGGTGGTTTTGTTCTCTACTGTTCTCTGCTCTTATAGGCCTTCTATATTTGAGAAAGTCTAGGTAAGTTTAATTTCTCCCTTTTCCTATCATGGAAGCTAAGTTGGGTCAGAATTTTTAAGATTTCAGAGTCCTAGAGGTAAATGGATCTTTACACGTAATTGAGAGCAGTTCAGAGCAAAGGGAATGGTAAGGCATAGAACAGACGGAAGTTAGAGGACTTGCAGTGATGAATGCAGAGGCCAGGCATATAACAGATGGAAGTTAGATGTCTTGCAGTGATGAATGTAGGGTTGATGACTGTTTTCTTATTTGGGTAATGGAATACATGTGGCAACAGTGGCGTTTGTGAGTAGTTTATAGAGGAAGAGAGAGTTAAGGATTGTGGAATTTTAGAAAGTTGTTAGGCATTCCGTGTGCCATTTAGGTGGACACAATTATTTCATAACTAAGTATCTATTTTTCTGAAGTTGAAGAAAGATTTCAGTGGGAGTGATTTGAAACAATTCACTACTACTAGTTGTACACATGGATGGCGGAAGTGATGAAAGCTGAAGAAGGAACCCTGAGAAACACTGGTGTTTAAAGGGCAAGGGAAGTCACAACAAAGAATACTGAAGAGGAGGAGTGGGAGAAACACTTCTGAGATGGTAGAATCTCAGAAGCTTAGGGAGAATAAGAGAGTTCAGGGTGAGAGTGACAAGCTTTAGAGAAACCAAAGAAGATAAAGATTGAAAAACTGGGTTTGATATCCTTAGGGAAAGTGTTTTCATCTTAGTATTAGACTATGTAACTGACAAATGAATGGGAAAGATGACAGTGTGTCTACTCTTAGTAGCCTTAGATGAGAAGGGAAAAGCAGAGTAAAAACTAGATAGAAGGGTTGCAGAATTGGAGAGAAGATAATATTTATGTGTGACATGTGTCCTTGTGTTTATGTTGCAGTACACTTAAATGTTACATGTACAGTGTAGGTTAAGATCCTGGGCTATGGAGTCAAGTTTTGTTGAATTCAAATCTGAACTCTGTCACTTTGGACTTTATGATTTTGGATAAGTTAATGCCTCTATTTCCTCATCTCTAAAATGGTAATGATAATCAGGCTTTTGGAATTAAATGAGGTAATGCACATTAGGTGCTTGTTTCTAGCATATAGTAACTGCCCAAAAATTGTTAATGTGATTACTAGTAAGAAAAATTTGATTATTATTTTCAGCATTGATATTTAATTATACTTGCTTCAATTATATGAATTTTTAACTTTAAACTATTAACAGAGATTTGGCCCCATGCTGTATAACAGAAGGTACTTCTGTATACTAATTTTTCCCTAAAATTCTCTTGTCTTTCCTTCTCAATTTTTGTTAATTRTTATAGCATTTCCATTTGTTGGATACTTAATAATGTTTAACATCTACTCTGTGATTATAATTTCCATGCTTTTTTTAGTCTTAATTCTGTAGATAAATGATAGCTAAAAATACCAGTTATTTTGTTTTTTTTTTTTTTTTTTATTGGTCGTTCATAACATCAGTTATTTTGTTATACCTTCTTTATTCTTCTCTAGATTGGCTAAAATTGTTTTTTCTGGAGTTTCTTTAAAAAGGACTCATGGCAACTGCATATCCAAAATTTTATCAAGTTAAGATGCTTCTTTGTTGTCTTTGTGTTTGAATGATAGTTTGGGTGGGGTATAACATTCCTGGATTTCACTCTTTTGAAAATTTTTAATGGATTTGTTATTTTACTGTTTTCTATATTCATATTTCCAGGTATAGATCTGAGGCTGCCCTGAATTTTGGGATCTTTTCATGTATTTTTGTCAAACTGCACTTGTAAAATAAAAACATTCTTTGGGTAATAAACAACATTTGTTTATTGGAGTTCCTCACTGCTGTGCTGTATAAACATCAGAGGAATCAGTAATTTTACTATAATATGTATTGGCATGGACCCATCTGTCATTTTTCTCTCTAGTCCAGCTTACCTTTCCAGTCATTAAATTCAAGCCAGCCGTTATTACTAGGAAGATTTCTATGTTACTGAAATAATTGAAATCATTTGTGTCAGTTAAGCATATGGTCTCCTTTGCTTGTTTTAGTCCTTTAAAAAAATAAAACACCATATTATCTTTGACCATTAATATTTTCAATGGAATGTCCATTTCTGTTTGTTTTAATTTAATGATTGCTTGGATGTTGTTACTTCCACTGTAAGTTTTACCAGCTTTGTTCCATCTCATTTTGTGATTTTATTCTTTTCTCTGAGCTCCTTTTTGTGAGCTCTGCTCACTAGTACTCCTTTTCCAAGAGAGATGCTCTCCTTGGATCTTCTCTCTGTTGGATATTGATAGTTGTGAACAGTAAAAACAAGTTGGTGTTCTCCTTTGAGCTGTATGTACAAATAAGTCCCGCTTTCTTCCTAGACACAGACTTTGGGTCTTACTGTAGAGTCACTTTCCATTCTTCCTCACTGGCTGTCATTGAATGTAAATCCTTAGTAAAGTTTGTGTAATTTCTTCTTCATTTTTCCTTCTTGAGACTACCTTATAAGAAAGTTCCTGCCTTGAAACTTTTCGCTTGTTTCTCATGTCAAATGCCTGATTATTGTTTTTAACCTTTCTGGATATGCCTGTTAAATTGAGAGAACTAGGTACCTCAGTAGCCTTGGGCGTATTTAGACTGGGTTGTTAAGCATCTGTGTTTGACCTTCACTATTTTTGTCAGTCTTTCCTGGTATTATGTTTTGAGATTACAGATGACTGTTTCTTTGGTAGTAGATAGCATTTTGTTTTCCTAATCTCTTTTGATCTTCTAGAAAGAAAATGATGGGATATTGCTATTTTTGACTCAAGGTTTAAAACTAGAAGCTCTGTAATTCTTTGTAAAAATTTGTTTCTTCATTGGTACATACCTGCTGAAATATTGAGGATATATAATGTTACGGTGACTTTTCTGAATTTTATTTCACTGACCACTTATATATATATGTAATATATAGAGCTCTTTGTTGGCTGAAGAACACTTGATATCACATACTTCATTTTCACATACTTCATCAGTCCATGTTCACTATTACTCATTTTGTATTGATTTCTCAATTGTAGTCAAGTAAAGGAGAATTGGCTGCACTTCTGCATCAGCTCCAGGAAAAGGACAAGTTGCTTGCTGCTATAAAAGAAGATGCTGCTGCTACAAAGGATCGGTGTAAGCAGTTAACCCAGGTGAAGACATTCTTATGTTCAAGGGATGTACTTCTTGAATCAGAAGCAATGGAAGTTTTAAAAATTGTCTATACTTCCTGATTTAATTATTTGTGTAATAAATGTATCGCCCCCCCCCCCCAATCTTCTTTTAGAGTTTTGGAAAAGAGGTGTCTTTACTCTTTTATGATATAACCTATAGTTGAATTATTAATTTAAAATAACAGTATTGGATATTCTAATTTTAGAATAGCAGCAGTATTCTGTTCAGAAGAATGGGAATTTGTTTTAATTTGATCTGACCTAGGTCTATTCTCTGTAAAGGCAAGAAACTTGATCTTTATAAAAATCCAATTTGTGGGGGTAAATATGAAGCTTTTATATAGGTGATTTACTTATGGAGGTGGTTGTGATAAATTTCTATAATTTTTAATCATGTTCTTCAAATTTTAATCTGAGAGGAAAAAGAAAGCAAAACAAACCTTTAAAATTAAATGTAGACTGAGAACAGAATTTAAACTCTAGAGAAAAGTAGATCCTTATCCTTCTGAAGTGCTTGTATCTCCTTCGGTTACTAAATGCAAAAGAGTAAATGAGCTTGTTTATGACCCTGTTAACCTAGCTACTTGACAACATCAAAGGAAAGAATGGCCTTATTTGAATGTAAATCCTTAATGTGATTTTTGAAGTAAATAAAAACATGGGTGGAAACACCTGCTTAAACACCAATTTTATAAACAGTGAAATCACCTTTTTAAAATTTGATTTGGAAGGATGATAAAATTCCTGACTCCTATTTCACATTTCTGTTCTACCATATAGACATGCCCTTCTTTCCTCCTCTGGGAGAGAGACTTCTTTTTTAACTGTTGTAGAGCTTGCTTCCCCCCCCCCCCCCAATTTGGCCTTTTCCTGTATCCTAAAAGAGAACTGGTACTTGCAAATAACTATTTTTCCTTATTATCAGATTAGAGTGCAGGAATTATTTTAGATTCATGGTCTTTAAACTTGTTTTCTTTTTGTTATAGTCTTATAATTCCTTTTTAACAATTTCTTTTTTGATTTATTCTAGGAAATGATGACAGAGAAAGAAAGAAGCAACGTAGTTATAGCAAGGATGAAAGATCGGATTGGAACATTAGAAAAGGAACATAATGTATTTCAGAACAAAATGCATGTCAGTTATCAAGAGACTCAACAGATGCAGATGAAGGTATAGTTTCATTCTTTGAAAATAAGATGAGGAGCTGGAGTTGTGACTCAGTAATAGAGCACTTGCCTGGCATATGTGAGGCCCTGGATTTGATCCTCAGCACTGCATATAAATAAGTAAATGAAAAGATCCATTTATAACAACAACAACAGAAGTCTAAAAAAAAACAAAACGAATGAGGTGAATTGTATGCATTCATTTATTTAGCAAGTTTTTAAGTGCCTTCTATATAAATATGTTGGGCCATCTACGTACAGTGGTTAAACCCACTCCTTGTCCTTAATTTTCTGAGTGGGATTGAGAAAGGGAGGCTGGAAAAGTAAGCAAATAAATTCACCATGACTAGAGGTAAGCATTATGTACTTTGGAGTAATGGAGATGGGAAGTACGAAAGAGKACTGACAGGGTAAGGTTGTTATGTGTGAATCCAGAGTTCCATTACCTGCCAACCCCCAATTCCTGAGGATTGAACTTGGGGCCCTGTGAATGCTAGGCAAAGATTCTACCACTGAGCTATATCCTTAACCCTGTGTTGAATGTTTTGAATCAGTAGGCATCAAAACTGAAACAGGAGTTTTGAGATGTGACTAGATTCCTCACTTGGCCAGTTTCCTTCTGTGTTCTTCTCTTGCAAATTTGAAGAATAAAATCCACAGACAATCATGGAAAGAAAGTAAATGGAGCAGTACTTATTTGAGTAAGAAGAAAGAACTCCCGCCATGGAGGAGGGGGTCTGATAGCAGAAAACCCCATTTTGGGGTGCTAGCATTTATGTAGACTGGGTAGACTATGGAGCAGAATCTATGCTAAACAGGCATTGCAAACAGCCCCCAAATCATTGATCAAAATCTATGTAAAACAAGCATTGAAAATAGCATCAAGACCTTTGAGTATTAATCCTTCCTATTCTTTCTAGGTTTACCGTCACCTCCCATTTTCCCACCTTTGTTTCCACCTCAGGGACAAAGGAGTTGTTCCTACGTGAGCCTCAAGGTCTGTTACACTTGAAATAGGTCTTGATAGCACCCATTAATATTTCTATGGGTTAGATATGGTTTCTGCATTTGAACAAGACCTCAGTTGGGGCCAATCATTTCTGATTGCTGACCATTGACTATTCTTATTCTATAGGAGAGTGAAGAAATGAGCACTAGGTACAAGAATTACTGGGTGATATTCTTTGTTCCCATCTCTAGTGGGCTCAGTGGGTCTATTTTGGGGCAGAGAATTGAGCTTTTTCAATGAGTGCACTCCAGGGTTTCTAATGCAGATTGTCTAGCCCTAACACTTTGTGAGAAATGTAGTAAGAGTTGTAATTGGGAATCAGGGTTGCAATGAAGAAGCAGAGATCTAAAGATATTAGGCAGGGACACCATCTAAAAGGGCCTCATGTGTCTGAAAGCTGGGGAGCCAGTGGAGGAGTTTAAGCAAGCCAGCAGTATGATCTGTCAGTATTTCTAACATGACTTGGGCAGCATCATGCAGAATAGAACAAGAGGTAGTTAGAAAACTTTTCCTGAAACTCAAGTCAGTGAAAACAAGGCCTGAAATCAGATGTTGACAGTGAGGAGATGAGTTTGAGTAAAACAGAAGTTTGTTAGATGGGGTTTAGTGTTGGAGTGGAGGAGAGAGAGGATAATGAATGATGACTCCCAAAGTTCTGGCATAGGTGACCTTTTGTCTCTGTGTTAATCCATACTCTTTGACCTATCTTTTGTCATTTTTCATGAAAGTTTAGTTTTTACCATGTTTTATTTTCCATATATCATTCATTAGCCTGATTCTAGTTAGGTCTTGATGAGTGAATTATTCTGTCTTCTACTCTCACCCAACTTACTGATAGACATTGAAGAGCATGACTTGGCTATGCTTGTGAGGTGCTTAGTTGAATGCTCTGAGCCAGTGACTTTCTGAAATTGTTATTTCCATTTGCTGAGGCTTCAATTCAGAGGGTCTATCTGTTATTAGGAACTGCTTCAGAAAATACTCTAAGTCTGAATTCTAAAGAGAGCTTTATTTACCTGGCCAAGGACTGTCACCTACCCATAGGAGACTGAAGCTCTGTGGGAGAACAGCAATTTCCTGGCCTGTGTCATGGCAATTTAAGGACAAAAACCATAGCTTAGGGGCTTTTCTCAGTGTTATGCAAGTAAGCCAATCACAGAAACTAAAAAAAGCAGTTAGCTTAACTGCATCTCAGGTCCTAACAAGTGTTAGACAACCATATTGTGAGTTTCAGCTGGTGGGGTGAGTTGGATAATCTATTTCAAAGTTATGTAGACCCATAAATGTACTCAAACCCAGGATGTAGTCCACCACGGCCACCACCATATCCTGAGTTGGGTACATTCTGTGGGTACAAAGTACAGAAAAAACAATTTTTTTTTAAAAAAAGAAAGCTTTTGTTTCTGTTTCTCAGAAATGGGTCATGCAACAGTTTATATTATTTTTTTTTATGGAAGGCAGCAAAATGGAGTCTTAGGCCTGTCACAGATCTTGCTTTATAATTGTCTTATGTCACTTAACAAAATCTTATATCTATAATTTATATTTGTTACTAATCTATAATCTATAACTTACACTCTTACTGATTTTATTGATTATTTTACACCACAACATATTCATCCCAGATTTAATATGTCTGAAGTCAAATTCTTGTTTATCGATCAGGTTGGTTTTGTTTTCCAGTTTAAAGCATTATTTTCTTTATATTTGAATCCTTTGGCTTCTTTTTTCCAGTCTACAAAATTGTCTGAGTCTTTTTTCTTTAATATTTATTTTTTAGTTGTAGTTGGACACAATATCTTTATTTTATTTATTTATTTTTATGTGGTGCTGAGGACCGAACCCAGGGCCTCACACATGCTAGGCAAGCGCTCTACTGCTGAGCCAGAACCCCAGCCCAATTGTCTGAATCTTAAAGAGACTTTATTTGTGGTACTCTTGTTTTATAAGAACTAAAATCAGCATTCTATAGTGATGTAGATGTACTGGTGTTTATAGCTGTGTAACTCAAAATAGCAAAGTTATGGAACCAGCCCAGGTGCTGGTAAACAGATGAATGGATGAAGAGAATGTGGTTTATATACACAATGGAGTTTTAATCAAGCATAAAGAAGAATGACATAATGGCATTTGCTGGTAAATGGATAGAAGTGGAGAAGATCACACTATGTGAAATAAGCCAGACTCACTATGTCAAGGGCCAAATATTCTCTCTCATTTGTGGAAGCTAGAACAAAATAAGGAGAGGAGGGGAAAAAAAAAGAGGGTCGGGTAAGGGAATCAAATGTGAAAGCAATTGAGGGGGAGGATGGAGGGATGGGAAAAGTGAGGAATGGTGGAATGAAATTGACGAAACTCTCTATATATATAAATAAATGAATAAATGACAGTGAATTTTGCTTATACATATATCTATAAAGCACTAATATTAAAAAAATAAATAGAAGGACGACCAGTAGAGCAAGACAATGGAGAAGGGAAGGGAAAGGGGAAGTACTTCGGACTGAAGTGGAACAAATTATATACAGTGCTTGTATGATTATGTCAGAATGAACTCCAGTAATATGTATAACTATAATAGGCTAATTAAAAAATATTCTTCACTGCTGTCAAAGTTAAAACTGTTTCCCACCAAAATGTCACTGAAAACAAAAATGAGTGAGACTATTGTGAGATTGTTATTGTCTACTGTGTCTAGCTTTTATTTGGTCTACTCTTTTAACTTCCTGTTCCCCATCAGTGAGGTTATCAAAGAACTAATTTTCCTAACCTTAGGTGATCTTTTCTTAATTCCTATTTACTATTTGTTTGAAAGTTAACCAGATATTTGAAGCAGTGTCTTTTATTGAAGGTCTAAGATGTGTAAGCGGTTCATCATTTTTTACTTAATTACTTCTAGAGGTCAGGATATAGATTCCATATAGATTCTGAAATATATAAATACATACATTAGTTTCTTTTAACCGAATTACTAATAAAATTATCAGCAACTATTTTAATTAAAGAATATTTTCACACTAAATTAAGACATTCTTATGGGAATATTTGAGTCAATGTTCTTTATCTCCTTACTCTAAAATTCTGAAATTGAAAAATTAGATACCAGAAAAAAGGTACAGTAATGGTTGCCATGGAGAGGGATTAATGAGGAGTTATTGGTTAAAGGGCATAGAGCTTTGTTTTAAAAGAGTTACAAAGATGAGTGGTAGTGATGGTTGCCTGATAGAATGGATATATTTAATACCATTGAACTTTGCATTTGAAATGGTTAAGATATAGTACATTTTATATTTACCACAATAAAAATAAGTAGGGATCAGAATATTTTAGCAAGTAGATTTTTGTGTTATCTATTCAATTATGGCTCAGTTTGTAACAATATTTTTGAATATTCCGGTTTTAAACTTTAGGTTATTAAATACTTAAAAAATATAGCAAATGTAAAATTGACATATTCTAAGAGAGGGCAGGCTTATTTCTATATGAATCCGTTGGGTAGGAAAGAATTTTTAAGTCAGTTATTAGTTTTGAACTATGTTTTATTTTGTATTTCAAATATATTAACTAACAACTGCTTGTATTCTTAAATACTATAGCAGCTTCTGCTTTGCATATATCAGTAAGAAATAATAGTTTTTCCTTTAAATATGTTCATTTGAAAAGAATGATTTCGATTTCATTATTGATACATTTTATATTATCATCACAATAGAATATCTTTAAAAAGGAAGCTCTTTTGATGTTTTAAAAAAAATCTTAATATGTTTAAAATAATTAGTTTCAGCAAGTTCGTGAGCAGATGGAAGCAGAGATAGCACACTTGAAGCAGGAAAATGGTATACTGAGAGATGCTGTTAGCAACACTACAAACCAACTGGAAAGCAAGTATGTTTCCAAAGGTTTATTTTTAATTAAGTGGTGGAGTGTTTTCTTGGATTGTCAAAAATGTGTGTTTGATAGTAATCAGTTAGACTTTTGTTTTTTACATTTGCTTCTAAAACTGTGTTACTTTTTAAAAAACAATAATTCTGCTGTTTGAAGAACTTCAGCTATGTATAAACTTTATGTATTAGATATAGCATAATATGCATTTATATATATCATGTAAATATATTAATTAAAGTTGTATGTATGATAATTACTATCATCAGTGGAATAGCTTACAAATTTATGAATTTGTTTTAAATTATCTATTCCATAATACAGTAGTTCTTAAATTTTATTATTCTGAATAGCATCTGGCATGCTAATGAAAAAAGCATATTCTTGAGTTCTACCTCCAAAAGATTTTGATCCAGTGACCCTAAGGTGGAGCTAAAGAATGTGTATGTGAAGGCATATTCTTTATGATAGGATATAGTTGGTTCCAGAGCCATTCTAGCACAAAATCTAGTAGTATGTTTGCACAGATAAGTACTCTGATTGGTTGTTTTTTTGGTACCAGGGATTGAACTCAGGGGCACTCAACCACTGAGCCACACCCCCAGACCTATTTTGTATTGTATTTAGAGACAGGGTTTCACTGAGTTGCTAAGTGGCTGAGGCTGGCTTTGAACTTGCAATCCTCCTATCTCAGCCTCCTGAGCCTCTGGGATTACAGGTGTGTGCCACCATGCCTGGCCAACTGGTTGGTTTTAATAGATTTTCAGAAGACCCGTTTGAGGTGACATTGTCTACTCATGCTCATGAGTTTGTGATTATCCATTTCTCATAATACTTTATAGTGATTTTAGAGTTTGTGTAATTGTTGTTACAAATATTTAGCTATTCTAATCAACCAAATTTCATTGTAAGTAGTTACTTGTGTTCCTTGTCATTTGTTTACAAGTAGACTTAYTAGTTCAGTAAAACTAATGTAAAATATGTTGTATATTCTTCATGAGTTTATAATAATGAAAGATTCCTAATCCAGTTACTGTTTTCAGGCAGTCTGCAGAACTCAATAAATTGCGCCAGGATTATGCTAGGTTGGTGAATGAGCTGGCTGAGAAGACAGGAAAGCTACAGCAAGAGGAAGTCCAAAAGAAGAATGCAGAGCAAGCAGTTACTCAGTTGAAGGTGATTGATTACCGATTTTATTTATCATTTCATGAATAGTGTGAGTATTTGTTGACCTAAATATGTATATAGGTTTGAAAAATATAGTTTGAGCCTTTATGGGACACATTGTCTATGTGTTCTGCCTGTACAGAAGCATGTGCCTTCATGAAAGAATTGAATATAGGCTTGAATTTRAAACTAAAGACTGAAGATATAAAAAAGGAAATGAGCTAATTCAGAAGTATTAAAAAGTAAAAATTTATTTTATATTTGGAGTTTAGGGTCTAGATGTGTAAGGAAAAATCAAGTAGTTAAAATTATCTCTAACAGTACTTTTATTTTCTGTTACTTGAATTTCATCAGTAAGTCCAATAAAACCTGTTTTTCTTCCAGCATTGGAATAGATGGTGGTTTTTTTTTTGTTTTGTTTTGAGCAGAAGATGAAATACTGCTCCAATGGCTTATACCTGAGCTTTCATGTACAGAAATTATGTACTGTGTCTTCAGACATCAGAATGACACTTGGTATCGTGAGGTGCTTTTACTGTGAAGAGATGGCTGGGGTAGCTCAGGTTGACTGAGGAAGTGGCAGATTCATTTCTCATTTGCACTCCAGAGCCTATACCCATTGAGTGGAAAGATGAGACTTGTCTATTCCTCCTCTTATCGAGAGAAGGGATTTGTTGAAAGTATAGTTCAGTTTGTGCATGTTCAGTGTAATCTACTCTATTAGACAGATTCTCACCTAGATCAGTGACACAATCATACCTTGAGATCATTTCCAGAGTAGTAGGGGTTTCATAGATTTTGAGAATAGTAATTGAGTGTAGAAAATAGTATAACTTGTTTTTCTTGAAATTTTCTTGGAACTTGCATGAGGTGGATATAAATGTCTTTTTATTTAAGACTGGTTTTGCTGGGAGATTTGCTTCAGGCATTTATAGATATGGAAATCTGTTCTCTACAGTTATGGATAAATAGATAAATGACATTAGTGATTATTGTCATAATTGGAGTTTTGTACAATAAATATTATATCTCAAAATATGAATTTTAGGGTTTCACTGAAATTTAACAATGAATATACCATCTTTTGGGAAGCTTATCAGCTGAAGAAAGATTAATGGAAAGTAGGTCATAGCTAAGTGGATCAGATATGTTCATAGTAGTAGTTATCTTGGTCCAACAGTACAAATATTGAGTTTCTGAAATAACCTTCACTCTTAATCCTCTATATTGGAGGATAGGATGTCTGTGGCTGATAAGTACAGTATGACAGCCGTTTACTTATCTGCCTACTTTGTTCAAATGTTGTTAAAATGTAGTAAACAGTTTTGAGATACAACACTAAAGGTAGAAGATGCTTTTTTTTTTTTGTATTTTTAAAGTTGAATTCTTTTGTTGATGGTGATTTTTTTTCCTTTGTCTATTCTGAAATATCAAGGTTCAACTACAAGAAGCTGAGAGAAGGTGGGAAGAAGTTCAAAGCTACATCAGGAAGAGAACAGCAGAACATGAGGCAGCCCAGCAAGGTAAGGGGAAGGAACGAGGCATACATGTGAACTGAGTGTATAATTTTGGGTAAATTTCCTTTGTTCTCCATCTGTGAAGAAAGTATAATTTGGCATTTTGGTTATGGCTCAAAAAGTAGTGTTTGCCCTTTCAGATTGTCTTTATTTCTTTGACATATGTTAGGGTTTTTAAAAATAAGCACCCTCCTAGCTTTGCCAAAACATTAAATTGTAGGCAAAATTATTGAACATAATAGGGTAATGGGAGCATAGCTGCTGGGTTGTTTTCTGAAGTTCTCATTGATTAACTCTTCATTTTATTTTTATTGCTAAGAAAAGGCTTATTTCCTATGTTGTAAAGAGAAAAACAGCAAGAGCGCTACTGTTGCAGTTAGTGCTGTCTACTTAGTAAAGGCTAACTTTTACTATTTCTTTATTCATAATTTGATGAATCCATCTGGGAGATAGTAGAGCTTATACTATGTGTGTTATTTGTCTCCATTACTCCTTTCTCCCATGGAGGAGGGAGCTAGCTAGAATATAAGTTCCAAACAATAGTATAGATAGAACGTTATGTCATAAGACCTTTGTGTGATACTCCATATTTCTAAACAAACATAATATTGATACTCATTCTTCCCATTTATCTCTCATTGTCTTGATGTGGTTATGTATACTTTTTGATGAAAGCAGTATTCATTGTTTATATCATTATCACTGTATCATGAAATGTTAAGCCAAGATGCATGTTAAAATGTGATTCTTGAGCTAGGTGCAGTGGTGCATACCTATCATCCTAGTGACTTTGGAGGTTGAGGCTAAAGGTTTGCAAGTTTGGGGCCAGCCTCAGCTAATTAGGGAGACCTCACTAAGGTCTCTTAGTGAGACCCTGTCTCAAAATAAAAAGGACTAGGGATTCAGCTCAGTGGTAAAGCACTGCTGGGTTCCGTTCCCAGTACCAAAACAATCAAACCTGTGCTTGTTTTCTTGAACATTATTTCCTGGAGCTAATTATTGCTTTGTTTTCACCTGCTTAATCTTTTCATTGTTTAAAAATTTACCTTCATTTATAGTTAAGTTTTCTGTAACCCTGTCTTGCTATCTGCTGCCTTTCAATAGGATTAGATAGTATACAGAGAGTCTTACCGGTTTTTCCTGGTGACATTCCTCCTGGAGTCTTCAATCTTTCTATTCTAGTACTTGTTGATTTCTTGGTTGCCTCCACAGATGTCTTCCTGAGACTTGGTTTTGTCTTTCTACCCTTCTTTCTGGATCCTATGTCATTGACATCTTTCTTGCTATTGTTCTTTAGTAAATCTTTGAAAGCTCTGTGAGAATCCCTTGAATTATGGAGGTCCTGTGTATCTGAAAATGTTTTTATTATCTACCTTCATACTTGATTGATGGTTTGACTGGTTATCAAGTTTTAGGTTGGTAAATATTGCCTCCACAGAATTTTGAAGGCATTAATTCAATGATTTAACTTTTGTTGTTGATATGAAGAAATATGCTCTTTTGAGATCTAATCCTAAAAGTGACTATTACACATTTAATATCCATGAGTTCTCTTTTGAGTTGTATTGTTCTTTTTATAGAAGTGGCATCTTGCCTTTCTTAAAACAGTTGCGCGCACATGCACACACACACACCTCCCACCCCACACAAACTCACATGTGCATTTTCCTTTCCTTGTATTATCTTTATATATATGATGGTTTCCTCTCTCCCCATTTTGGACTCATTTATAGTATAGGGCAGGGAGGCAGCTCTCAGGATACTTGGCATCTCCTGTCATTATCCTCTCTTGGTTCTGGAGCACTTGCCCTTCTGCCAAGTTATGATCACATTTTGCCTTCACTTTGTTTAAAGAGAAGCAGAGGACTTTGCTTTTCAACAAGTTTTCTTTGATTTTCAACAAGTTCACCCTAAGCAGTGTGGCACCTGCAGGAGTATTATGAGGGGAAATGGGAGGGATTTGAGAAAGTTTTTTAGGGAAAATAGTGCCTATACTAAACATGAACTAGGCAAAGGAAGAGACCTTCATGAGATGTAATGTTTTATTACAGATTTACAGAGTAAATTTGTGGCCAAAGAAAATGAAGTACAGAGTTTGCATAGTAAGCTTACAGATACGTTGGTATCAAAACAACAGTTGGAGCAAAGACTGATGCAGTTAATGGAATCAGAACAAAAAAGGGTAAACAAAGAAGAGTCTCTACAAATGCAAGTTCAGGTATCTGTTTTTACTTTTAAAAAAAAAAGGATATGTGTGTTTAGACAAGAAATCAAGGAAGATAATACATCGATATAATTCTGAAGGGGTGGTGGATATAACTTAATCTTTGAGTGCATATGTTGTGTCAAAGATTTGCTCATCCTACAAGTCTTAGGTTAYTTGTAGTAGATAAGGAATAGAAAACATCCTTAAGTTCTATCTTACAAATTAACTCAGGATAGTATGTCTAATCCTTGTTTTAAATATGAAGAATCTAAGTATGCCTTTTTAAAGATGAACAGAGAACCTGTAAAAATCATTGTATTCATTTATGTTGGGATATTTATTAATAGCACACTTTTTCCTTTCTGTTTGCTATTTATGAAAGGATATTTTGGAGCAGAATGAGGCTTTGAAAGCTCAAATTCAACAGTTCCATTCCCAGATGGCAGCCCAGGTAATGATGTATTATTTTTGCTTATGGCTTTCTTGTGGCTTCCTACCCATTTTAGCAATCATCTGAGCATGTTTTGAGGGCTGAGCACTGGATTAATAGTTGGGAGACTCCTCAGTGAGTCAACAAATGGTGATACTGAGTGCCAAACACTGATGATTACATACATTAAGAAGTCCAAATTCAAATTGGAAAGAAGGGGGTTAAAGAGCTCTTACCATATGGGGAAAATATGCCCTCAGTCCAATCACAAAATAGGAAGAATTGGCTAAATGGTTTTTAGTAGAGTTGCTTATGTGTAAAAGGTCTTCACAAAATACTAATCATGAAAAACCTTGTATTCCCATTGGAAGTATCAGTGTGTTAACCATAACTCTGAGATTATATTTCAAAAGAATCAGTTTAAGGGCTGTAGCTAAGCTCAGTGGCTTAGCACTTGCCTGGCATGTGTGAGACACTGGGTTTGATCCATAGCACTATGTAAAAATAAATAATAAAGTAAAGGCATTCTGTCCATCTTACAAGAACCCCCCCCCTCAAAAAAAAAAGTTTAAAATTGATATTTCAGTTTAGTGATAAACTTATTAAACTTTTAAGAAATGATATTGTTGAGACCTGTTTTTCTTTGGTAACATTGTTTTATTGACATAACTGATTGGTAGGTAGACTTCATAGTATATATGATATGACAGAAAAAAAAGTGAAAATTCCTAAGTGCTTATTTATGTAATATACACACTGGTAATTACAATTTCAGTTGAACTTTAAAAGTATTAGGATTTTATAGCCCAAAGTACTAGCTTTTAAATCTTATCTTTTTCTATTTAAAAAAAATGTTTTTTATATTAAAAACTTGTTTTAATATAAAACTTCCAAAACTTGGAGCAAATAAACATTTTTTCCCCCTGAATTCTTTATTGGTAGAAATCATAAACAATAATCAATTGGGCAAGAGATATTTAATATAGGAAAGAGAATGTGGTTATGTATGTATGTGACTTATCAAACTCAAATGGAATTGAGATCTTTATCAGTTGAGAGGTAGATATAGAAAATTTATCAGGGATTAAATATAGAAAGCTATAGAGCAGAGACAATCAATCTGCTCAGTTATCATGATCATGAAGTGGCTCATTAAAAGTTAATGCTAAGAAAAGAACCACAGGATAAAAAATGGCCCCTGTGGCAGTTTTTCTTATGTATTTGTTGTTTGTCAATTATGTAGTTCCAGGCCTGTCAGTTTGCTTTATTCTAAATGTCTTATGTAAGTCCCTAATACTGGCTGATCAAACTTGCTTTCAGAATGATAGCTACTCTTAATATTGAGTACTTAATGTGGTCCAGATATTTCTTTAACAACTTTGTATACATTAATTTCCCACAGTTTTTTAAACTGTGTTGTGATTATTTTACAGCTTTTAAACTTTCTCTTAAGTGCTTTTATGTTGACGATGTTTTTTCTTTCTTAGACCTCCGCTTCAGTTCTAGCAGAAGAATTACATAAAGTGTAAGCCTGCCTTTCTGCACTTCTCTTATAATTGTATATTTATCACTAACTGTTACTTGTTAGATATGGCACTTATGATTAACATTACACTTTGACCTGTTTGGAAAATACTCTGAACTGGATTTAGAGCAACTTTTGCCCTTGTTTTCTTTTCCCAACTTAAGTTTGTGTTGGGTGGCTAAACATTGTACTGATTTTATAGGTTCATCATTAAAAGAGTTGGGGAAACTTTCCTTCATTTGGTATGTGTTGGAAATTATGTGGAAGAAGTAATTGTGTTGAGAGAGTGGTGGAAGAAAACTAGGAAGTAATTGTAGCTACTCTGGGTGTACCTATTGGTAGAATACACAAAACAAAGTTCAGTATTATTTTGTTCTGTATAATTTTACATAGACATGGATCAGTTGGTTTCAGTAGACCTAGAATCTGGTTTGACATTGCTAGACTTATGTGCTAAAAACTACTTAATTTTTTGACCTTTAATTTTAAAATAGGGGTATGTATTTTAAGGAGTTATAGTAATACATGAGACAGTTATTAGTAAACTGAAAAGGAATTATAGAAATAGAAGGTATAATTATATGGGAAAATAAGTATGACCCTTTTTGAAAAGCTTTTCATCCTCTGATTTGTGATGTGACTTCTAAATATTTATTAATGTACAAATGTGTTTTCTCTTAAAGGATTGCAGAAAAGGATAAGCAGATAAAACAGACTGAAGACTCTTTAGCAAATGAACATGATCATTTAGCAAGTAAAGAGGAGGAACTTAAGGTACAATAATTCTTATAAATGATTGCAATATTTTGCAGAACTCTAAATTAAATTACCCTGATTCTTCTCAGTATGAATTTATATGAAATATGGAAAATATTCTCCACTTCTTTTGAAAAGTAATCCCTTTTTAAACTATAAAATACTCTTTAGTTCTCTAAGAGAAAAAATTCAAATGGCTTTTCTCACATGATATAATTCACAGCAAGTTGGGAAATATGCTAACAGCTATTGATGTTTTTTCTTTCTGATTTAGGATACTTATAATTTGAGACCTTTGCTTAATTCTTAAATAGAATAGATATCTTCAAGCCATAAATTTAATTATATTAAATATATTTAATATGGTATTCTTTTTTTTTTTCTTTAGGATATACAGAATATGAATTTCTTATTAAAAGCTGAAGTACAGAAATTACAGGCCCTGGCAAATGAGCAGGTAGACCTTTTTTGCTTTTGAACATTTATCTCAAATTTTTGTCTATTATTTTCATTGGTACTGTGAACTTAGGTTTTATTTGTGTAAATAATTAATGGTTGTGTTTGGCTGTGTGATGTGTTTGTGAAAGCCTCCTCTTCACAACCTACCTAGATGTTACTATCATGTTGAAATTAATGTTAGATCTGATGACTTGATCATATCTGAGATATTATAGTAGTGAGTTTTAGCTACCTTGTTTTAGCCTTTTTCCATTTAAAGAGGACAACTCCTTTGTTAGGGTAAAGATAGATCAGGGAGAAATAAAAAATATTGGACTGTAAAACATATTATAGAAATGTGTGATATTGCCATTACTTTACATTAAATATAGAAAATAAAACTTAAGTAGTTTTGAGTGTTTCCTGAGAAATAAAATTCTTATTTTATTCCAAACACAGGYTGCTGCAGCACATGAATTAGAGAAGATTCAAAAAAGGTGATTAAGTTGTTGTTGTATGTATTCATACATTAATGTTGAAGTATAGTTGTTGTAAAAAATGTTACTACTTAACAACTGATAGTTGTGTACATAGGTCATGTAAATTTTTGAATGTGAAGTGTTTTTAATTGATGCTTTTTTCCTATAGTGTTCATATTAAGGATGATAAAATACGATTGCTGGAAGAGCAGCTACAGTGTGAAATTTCAAACAAAATTGAAGAATTTAAGGTGTGTGATTAAACTTTTACACTGTTTTCTTAGAATAGCCTTGTGTAATTTTCAGTTGTAGTGAATCTAGAAATACTACTTTTTATATGAACTTGCTCTCTACAGAATTTTTTTTCTACAGTATTTCTATAGTTTATTTCTTCTTTATGGAACTAAATTATATCATAGATTATATCATTATATCATAGATTTTTTTTTAAAATTTGTGCTAGATTCCGTCTTATCTATTTTTGTAATGAATTTTTGAGATTTATTTTGCCCCAATCTTTCCTGGGCAGTTTTCAGCAGGTGTTTTATATTTGTTCTATCTATCTCCACTGTTGCTGTAGTGCTAGTTTTTGGTCATGGCCAATCCATTTGAGTATCTGATTGCTAGGCTATAATCAGTGAGATCTGAATTTTTACATCAGCATGCAGTTCATCTGTCTCTTTGTGAGTACTTAAGAGTATATATAATATGAGTGTGATTGTTAAAAAAAGATTGAAATGATTCCTTTGTTACTTTTTTTCCTTGAAAAACTTGGTAAATTGAGATTCTTTGTTCCAGATTCTAAATGACCAAAACAAAGCATTACAATTAGAAGTTCAGAAACTACAGACTCTTCTTTCTGAACAGGTAAGACTTTTCATGAATTATAAGGTAGAATTATTCAAAACATAATAAGATCTGATTCTTCTTAGTTAGTAACCAGCTCACTAGTTGAGAAATTTTGCTTAAACTTGTTTTTTAGTTGCATTTCTATTTATCTTGTGTTTATCATGTTTCTAAATTAAACTTTTTCTTCTGTGAGATGAAGCTAATGCTAATCTACTCATAAATTTTATATAAAAATAGAGAAAAAGTCCTGTCTTACAGTTTTGGAGCCTCAACTTTTTCTTCTAGGCAGCATGGTTCATTGAAAAGAGAACGGATGTGAAACCTATTACCATCGCTTAAAAGCGGAGTAATATTGGTCAAGTTGCTTAGTTTTTCAGATACCTCTTGTTCCAAGTCTTTCACAYTAAGATCACGCTTACATCATAAATTTGTTAATTTTAAAATGCTTAGTCTAATGCTTTGCATGTGGCGGGTATCTAAACCTTTATTCCTTTCTATTAGAATATTTATTTTTTCATCTCTTTCCCACCCCCAGAAACCATCACTCTTCTTTCTATATTTATAGCAAGCCATGAAAACTATAGCAACTTTGCAGGGCCTGGTTATATATGTCTAATCCCAGTGGCTGAGGCAGGAGGATTCTAAATCAAGGCCAGCCTGGGCAATTTAGAGAGACACTGACTGAAAATAAATATAAAGGGCTGGGAATGTACCTCAGTGGTAGAGTGCCCCTGGATTCAGTTCCCAGTCCTGCAAAAACCAACAAAAGGAAAAATGAACAACAACAACAACAAAAAAAAAAAAAAAACATAGCAGTTTTGAATAAACACTGTTCTATAAACTAGGGCTCAATRTTGTCTGTTCTCTGGCTTTTCATATTTTTCTCTCATGTAACTAACTCTTTAAAATTAGGGTTTTTTAAAGAAAATTTTGATATTTAATATCAAAAGTTAGACGACAGGGGGCTGGAGATGTGGCTTAAGTGGTAGCGTGCTCACCTGGCATGTGTGTGGCCTGGGTTCGATCCTCAGCACCACATACAAACAAAGATGTTGTGTCCGCCGAAAAATAACTAAAAAATAAATATTAAAATTCTCTTTCTCAAAAGACGACACAATAGAATAGAAACTTTGCATAAGTTTTTGGAATGGACTTTTATTAGAAGCTGAAATTTAAGCTACTGTAAATGATAGCTCTACTTTTGGCAGATGCATGTGTCCTTTTCTATTTTAAAATCCACATTTATGCAAGTATTGAATTGACGTAAGTAGCTGTGCCACTGGAATTATTTTTAACATGTTTGCTTGTCGAATAATTCACGTATTCCCCTCTCTTTGTATATTCTTTATTTCTTTTATATGCTTGATCCTTGCAAACTAGAAGTAACAGAGGAAAAAATGTTTAAGGAGCATTTAAATTTAGTTTAAGTGTTATTTTAAGTCTCTTATTTCCCTTTGTTGTGGTATAGCTTAGGAAAGATATAATACTCTGTCAATTTGTAAGACTTCCCCTCACCCATTACCATCTCTGAAATCTGGGTATATCCTGTAGTCTCTGATTACAGTTTGGAACTATTTTTAATTTGTAGTATAAAATACCAGCTAAAAGATGCAACATTAGTGGTTCAGATTAGACAAAATATGATTTGTAACGTTTTGGGGTGTTAATTCTTACCTAGAATAGCAGAATTTAGTTTCTCTCTATTATCTGAGATTTTTGTGATATCTACTTCAACTTATAAACTTTTAGACTTTCTAAAATTAACTTTATAGAGGTGAAACAAATGCTTCAAAACTTCTGAACCTCACCTAGAATTCCGGTATTCTAATTATCCAAATGCTGGCAACTCTTACCTGTGTTTAAATAGGTAAATCTTCAAAAAACAGTAAATATCTATCATTACTAAAACTAGTGTTTTCCATCATCAGATAAGATTGAAATCATAAGCCTTAAATTTTCCTTTTCTTTTAGGGGAATTACCATTCTGATATAAAATTTCATATCATTTGTGGAAATTAAATTTTATAGTTGCACTTTTTTGATTTATTTAAAAGAATTATTGATGAGACAAAATCTTTTTGTGATGCCAATTTAAGATCTCTGGTACTAGTTTATGATCTGATATTGTTTTTTCTAGTTTTTCATTTCTACCTTTCTTTAACCCCTTCCTACCCATTAGTCAGAATTCCAAGTGACAGTTGAAAGATGAACAGTTTGGTTATGTAAAAAATTTCAGTCTTCTTGCCACATGGATTTTTATCCTAGAGTTAAAGATTGTGCTTATTAAAGAAGAAACCAATAATGGTGCCAAGTTGTTGTTTCCTCAGGTGTAGGAAGAAGAAAGACAACAGGTACCAGGTAAGGTAACCTGTTCATATAGGAAAGAAAAGAAGGCTTCATTTGGTATAGGCCTGCAAATGGTTAGTAATGCAGATCAATCAGTTATTAATCTCATTTACTCAGAACAAAGTAATTTGGAGGGGGATACATCCTTGTGTTATCTTTTTTCCCCCTCATTTGCAGTACTGGGATTGAACTCAGGGCCTTAAACATTTGATGCAAGTGCTCTTTGAGCTACATCATTCCCCATTCCTCACCTCACCCCCATCTTTTTGAGACAAAGTATCTTTAGGCTGCTCATGCTGTCCGCTCACATGACAATCCTCCTGCCTCAGCCTTTTAAGTAGCCCAAGTTTCAGGCGTGTATCCTGACTTGTGTAGGACCAGTCTAACTTTTAAAATTCTTTTTAAAATTCTTATTCCAATGAATTTTTAAGATTAAGTGGTCAAAAATATTAAGTGAAAAGTATGAGAATTTTTTTTCTTTTCCTGAATGCCTAGTTGTATTGAATTGCAGAAGAGTTCCTTATTGTATAAGATACAGATTTGAAAATCTTCTAGGGAGGAAATAATAGGATTGAATTAGATCAAAATAGTATGAAGTCAAGTAGAAATGTTGGATAGCTGCTAAGCTCTGTTTTATACAATGGAATATTGATGAGCTGAAGACCAGGAGTACTTATGAAGTTATATCTTCATTAAAGGAAATTGAATTCATCAAATATTTATTTAATAGTTGAATATATATGCTAGGTTCTTATCTCCATGGTAAGGCTATGGAGATGAATGAGAATTAATTCTTGTCCTCAGAATATGGCTGAATGTGTAGGCAGAGGCATAAACCAGTAAGTATGATGAATAAAATTCCTTAACTGTGTGTCCAGGTTTAGGGGAAGGGATAATGCATTCTGTTTGAAGGAGGGTTGGAGAGGTAATCCATGGGACAATTAAACCTGATTTTGAAAAATGGCCATGAATTTGCCGAACTTCCAGGCTGGGGGAACACTGTTCAAAGCCATCGCAGCATGTAGCAAAATTGGCATATTTAGAGCATATTGGTATATTGCAGAAGGACAAGGTATGGGGAATAGAGGAAGATTTGCTGGGGCGTAATTTTGAAAGACTATTCTCTGTGTAAGATTCACAAATGTGATTTTGTACTGTGATTTGTACCAAAGGGTGCTTGCGAGGATGAATGAGTCCTTAGTCAAACATTTTAGGAAGATTACTCTAGGTAATCTTCCTAAACTCTAGGTGTTTGGATTTATGAGAGGGAGAAGCAGAGAGGACTAAAAGTACAATACAACCAAATAATTAAGGTATAGGTAATTTGGACTTCATAGTGTAGTCTTTTTGTGAGATGGCATTCATAAAAAATAAAAGTAAACAAAATGCATCTTTGTGGAAGATTGTAAACTTACTACTGCATGATTTTTAAAAAAATCTAATTTAATTGACATTTCCTGTCTCCTTTTTAAGGGTGGGACAGTTTTTTTCTTAGTACATTCTTTCTTCTTGTGCCCTGCACAAATCAATCCATATAAACAGGGATAAGAATGAGGATCTTGTGATATTTGAAATGAGTAAAGGTTTAGACCTAAACTTACTCATTAAAGAGAAGGGGTTGATTTTAGAAATATATAAGAAGTGAAACCTTAGGACTTGGATTTGGCAATGGAAAAATTATTTTTATTTGTGAGAAATGGTTGTAATAAGATTGGTAAAAAGTAAGAACTACCAAGATTTTAGAAAAGTAGATGGGGAGAAAGAGTGAGTTACAAAGGTTGAAGGATCTGTCAGACAATGAAGAGAATGTTTATGTTGCTTCTGTAGTTGATGAGCTTTTTTAAAGCATTCTCTATTTTTGGTCTAACTGGTGTTTACATAATATTTACATATTAAAAATCCATTGAGCTGTAAACAGGTTGTGTTCACTTGCTGATAAGTATTATAACTTATTGTGTGGGGGGGAATCTTTGTCAAAAAAAAAAAAAAGAAAGAAAACCTTTCTTTGACTTGTAATGCTTTAGAGGCTTGGATTTTTTATATTTGAAGAATTTAATTAATATAAGGGAAGTGAAGCGGATTTTCCCTGAACCTCAAGGTTATCCTTCATAGTAATAAAAAATTATTCATAAGTTACTAGTTTATTTTGCCAGCCCCATATACTTCTTATATGTGTCCTTTGTGTAGATAACCTCTCTTTTGTCATCTTGTGTCTTTTGAATTTAAAAATTATAATAGCAGTTTTCAAATAATGGTCATTTCCTTAAATTTTGGATGTGTTTAGAATTCTAAATAATTTCCACAGAGTTCTGTTTCTAATCTAGTTTTATTTCATGCAAACTTGGTAGAATTAAACTTTTCGGTGATTTTTATTTTCAGCCTAATAAAGATGTTGTGGAACAAATGGAAAAATGGTAAGAGTTTAAATTTGTCCTTTTTGAAAAAAAATTTTCAGCTACTCATTTCTACCAAATTTGTGATAACAGGATTATTAATGACACTAATCTATGTTCTTAAAATTCTCTTTGTCCTTTGTGGTAGAAGGGAGTGTGATATACTATTGCTTATTTGGGATTTTATAATATGGTCTATGTCAGTGTCGTGGTGATTGACCTTTTAGACTGGTATATAAAGACTACAGTGCTTGAGCACAGTTTCCTTAATGGTAATGAAGAAGTACCCTAAAACCAAGAAGTACCCTAAATCCAAGAACAGTTTCTTGAGGGTGGAGATCCTCAAGAAGCCGTTCTTGGATTAAAGTTTGTAAGGAGTGATGGACAGAGGGGTTGATTCATGTAAAATATTTAGGAATGATATTATTTACCTTAAGAATAGTTTATAATAAGTTTTTAATTTATAATTGCAGCATTCAAGAAAAAGATGAAAAGTTAAAGACTGTAGAAGAATTACTTGAAACTGGACTTATTCAGGTGGCCACTAAAGAGGAGGAACTGAATGTAAAGCATTTTGTAGATTTGTTTTCCTTGTGCTTACTCCGTGAACACGAAGGAGTTTCACTATAATTGTAAAAGGTTTTCTCATAGCTCTTAAACTTAATATTAGTTAATGACATTTTGTAAATTTATAACTTTAATTTTAAGTGATTTTTGAGAAATAGAAAAATGCATAGTTGATTGTAGCATTCACTACCTTAAAGAGGTTAATACTGTTGCTGTAGTTGGTAGTATATGCTTCTCTACTTGCACCCATGTCCAAATTATAAACAAATGATTACTAGCAGACTTCATAAGTCTCTGGAATAGTATTGGAGCTCTATGTTGTTATTGTTATCAATAACTGTTATCATCAGTCTTAACTAACTTGATAAGGATGCAGTTGCTGGGTAAAGTAAAATAAAAGGTATATTTGAATTTAGAGAGGATCATGTCAAAATTGACAAGTGGGTATAGTATACTCTGTTTTTGAATTTGTGGAAATATAAATAGATACAGTTCTGGGACAATTGAATTAAAAAACCCATTTCACTAAAAGAAGTTACAAAATTGTAGACATATGCAACAAGTGGGATTTTGGGACTTTACAGAGAGGAAAAGCAGCAGCTAAAGGAAAATGAGAAGTGAGTGTATTTTGAAGCTGTCTAATTCTTCAGAAGATAAAAGTATGTTGTACTTATGTGTCTTTGAAAAAGGCAATAAGAACAGAAAATTCATCTCTGACGAAAGAAGTTCAAGACTTAAAGGCTAAGCAAAATGATCAGGTAATGCATATAGTAGATGCTACAACTGTTCTTTTTTAAACAGTGGAAATTTACATAAAAACATATCAAGTTTGTTTCTCTTCCAAGGTGGAATTTATCAAGTATAGTTTTTAAATCAATGAATGACTATTTATTTGATTATCAGTAATATTGCTATAGTTTGTTGAATTTATAGCATGCCAGTCACTATTAAAGTCATTGCAGTTTTGAGTATACAAATAAAAATTGAATATAAATAATGTATAAAAGAGGCTACTAAAATTTAGACAGTTTCCTAGTTGTATTTTTTTCTTTGTCTAGTTAGAATGACTGAATGATTTAAACCTTTAATGATTTTTCTTTTGGCCTACACTTACAAGTAATTTTAAAAGTCTTTACTTTTAGTATGTTGTTATTTTCATCATTATGACATTTGAAACATCTAGAAAGAATTCCTGGGTTTACTTTTCCCATTTGGTATAGTGGAAAATTTAAGGATAAATTGTACTTTTCTACTTCTGATGCATTAATAGAACAATATACTAAATAAGATATTTTCCTATTTCTAGGTTTCTTTTGCATCTTTAGTTGAAGAACTTAAGAAAGTGTAAGTGATAACCTTACTTCAACTTGGTCTTTGTTTTTTGGCCTATTTTCTTAGTACTCACAAATCTAGTTTTACTTTTTGGAGAGACACCTGATGTATGTTAGTTAACTTATACTACAAATTTTTTCATTAATGTACTAAGGAAAGTCATTCTTTCCCAAGTGTAATTTTAAAAAAAGTTTTCATAATTGATTAGATTTATTTTATATGCCGTCAAACTGCTAATTTTTTGTCTTTCAAAAACCAGGTAATATTATAAGACATTTATGTCCTTGCATGTATCCTCTTCTTAAGGTGTCTGTAAAGTTTGGTGTAATTGTGTACAAGTTCTGCCAGAGCTCCAAAATCCTGGAAAATTCCATTGTTGAGAGGAACTTGCTTATCTCTAATGTTCTTCTTGGTTCAGATCTTATATTCCTTATGAACTGTTGAAGCACATTACCAAATTCTTGTCTGCATAGGCTTTAATGATCTGGTAGTTACTAATTCTATTTTATGAGTAGGTTTAAGTCCCTCCCCTCACTTTTTTTTCTCCCTGCAAAGATAGGTTGCTGTTTTACTTAACATAGGAGTTGAAAAGCCTTTTCATGATCAGTGTTGTTTTTGTGTCTTAGTTGGTGGATTCTGGTGATTTCTATCCAAACTAATACTGTGTATGTTTATTAAGGATCCATGAGAAAGATGGAAAGATCAAGTCTGTGGAAGAGCTTCTGGAAGCTGAAGTTCTCAAAGTTGCTAATAAGGAGAAAACTGTTCAGGTATTGGAAGAGATTTAGAAAACAGCGTGTTTGGTTTTCTGTTTATCAACTTTAGTTAACATCATTTAATTTCATGTGTTTGTCTGTACATTGCATTTATGTCAATTTGTGTGTTCCATTGTCCAATCTTGTCTGTTTTGTCATTGTCAAGGATTTGAAACAGGAAATAGAGACTCTAAAAGAAGAAATAGGAAATATCCAGCTTGAAAAGGCTCAACAGGTAAAAATCTAAGAGCCATAGCATGACAGATTTATAGTGTATATGATATTTATGAGCTACTTTTTTTTTCTTTTTAACTCAGGAAAAAAACCTTCTAGTAGTATGCTTAAGTATGTTGGGTTATATGCTTTTTGGGGGGGTCTGATTTGAGAAAGTGTCTGATATTATAATCGATATATCTTTTGGAATTTCCATCAAAGGTCTTTTTCTGGAAAGTTTTTCTTTTTCTTTTCTTTTTTTTTTTTTTGGATTAGTGTTTCATTTGTTTACAACTTAAAAATAAAATGCAAAACACTTTGGTAAATCTTTCATTACCAAAACCTCCCATTTATAAAAACTAGCCAACTAACCAACTACATGGAACAGAATTTTTTTGGTAGAATACATATATTGCTCAGACTTCTGCCTGTAGAACAAAACACAAATTTTACTGGGACATTCTAGAAGTGGATGGGATTATTGGAAATAGATGGAGTTTATCGAATTTAATGTGATAAGGCTTCATTGAATAAAGATGGTGAAATTGCATCAAGAGATGATTTATTCATTGAAAAGATTCATTCAATAATATCTCTGAGTTCCTCCCACTTGTAAAAAGATCATACTTCTAAAATATAGATTGAGGATTCAGGAGAGGCTCCTTTGAGGAAATGAAGTCAAGATCTGAAGGGACTGTGAGAATGGGAATAAAAGGTAGTATTAGAAGATGTATGGGGCTGGGGATGTGGCTCAAGCAGTAGCGCGCTCGCCTGGTGTGCGTGCGGCCCAGGTTCGATCCTCAGCACCATATACAAACAAAAATGTTGTGTCCGCCGAAAACTGAAAAGTAAATATTAAAAAATTCTCTCTTAAAAAAACAAAAAAAAGTATGATTTAAAAAAAAAAAGTAAACGTAATGAAAGGATAATATAGAATACTGTTGAAGAGTTACCTTTTAAAACTGGGCTGGAGAAAAGCTCTGATACTAATTATAAGGAGGTATGTGGAGAGTTAGTTAATACTCTAATTTTCACAATTATAGAAATATCATATTTAGACTTACCATTTTTAACCATCTCCTTTGTCTTCCCCCCCCCTCCCTGTTCTATTTTTAGTTTAACTTTTATTGTCATTGGAGTCAAGGGAAGGTGAAATTAAAACACATCTTGTTTTGGCATGAAAAATTCAGCTGGGATCTTTGTAATTTGAAGTGTATGAATTATAAATATGTCATAAAGCTTATTGGTATTGTTGAATGGATTATAAATTACTTTTTTTCTCCTTATATTTCAGTTATCTATCACTTCTCAAGTTCAGGAGCTTCAGAAGTTGTAAGTACTCTTTTGTCTTTTATTCCTACAAATCTCTTTTTCCACAAGTTAAATGTAATGAAAGTCATGGCTTCTTTTTATTTGCTTCAAATAATATTTTTTAGAAAATATCAAAAATTACTTTACAGGCCCTTAAAGTCTTCAGTCTTTCATTACGCCTTAATCTCTTATTAAGTTTTTTGGGGGGAAGAAAAAAAGATGGGAAATCTTATTTTATCTTGACTTATAGTCTGAGTATGACTTAAGCTGAGATATTGCTCTTTGACTATTTAATAGCCACCTGAAACTGAATATATATTGTTGAAGTGACTTTCCCGCTTCAACCATCTAATTTATTTTTTATTGGGATGTTATAATTACACATAGCTGTGGGATTCATTGTGCCATATTTGTATTTATAAACAACATAATTTGATCAGTCTCATTCCCCAGTACTTTGTCATTTCCCTCTCCTCCTTTCTCAGCTGTCTAAATCGAACAGGGTCATATAGAAGAGTATGAGTTGAACTTCTCATTCCTCTGGCTGTACATGGGCTGAGTCACACCAGTAGTGTAATCATACATGTGTGTAGGGTAATAATGCCTATCTTATTCCTCCGTCTTTCCCATCCCCACCCCTCATTCCCCTATACACAATCTAAAGTTACTTCATCCCCCCCCCCACCCCCGTTATGAATTAGCATCCGCTTATCAAAGAAAACATTTGGCCTTTGGTTTGGGGGTTTTGCTTAGCATGATATTCTGCAGCTCCATTCATTTCCTTGCAAATGCTATACTTTCATTCTTCTTTAAGGCTTAGTAATATTTCATTGTGTATATGTACCACATTTTCTTTTTTTAAAATTTTAATTTGTTATATATGATAGCAGAATGCATTACAATTCATACTACACATATAGAGCACAATTTTTCATATCTCTAGTTGTATGCAAATTAGAGTCACTCCATTCGTGTCTTTATACATGTACTTAGGGTAATGATATCCATCTCATCCCATCGTCTTTCATGTCCCCTCCCTCTTCTTCCCTCCCCTGTACCACATTTTCTTTATACATTCATCTGTTTCAGGGCATCTAGGTTGGTTTCATAGTTTAGCTATTGTGAATTGGAGCTACCCTATTTTATATTCAGTATCTGCATATTCATTGATTAGAATTTTCTTTAATCAGTCCTATACTTCTTAATTGGATTATGCCTTCAAAATCTTAATGTGCCTTTGTACGTTAACATAAGTTTTAGTTTATTTTAGTCACTTTCTTTCTGTGAATACTACCTGAAATATGATTTTTCAGTCTAAAGTATTTTTGCTTTTAATGGTCATGTTCATTTATAGTTCTTACTAATTTATTGTCAGATTAAAAGGAAAGGAGGAACAGGTGAATACCATGAAGGTTCTTATAGAAGAGAAGGAGAAAGATCTAGCCAATAGAGAGAAATGGTTACAGGTGAGACTTTACAAACAAAAGTTAAAAAATACCTTTTTTTTATATTTGAATATCAGTTCACATCTATTCTTTTTAAGGATCTGCAAGAAGAAAACAAATCTTTGAAGACTTATATGCAGGAAGCAGCACAACGTAACTTGCAGGAGGTATAGTATAGACAAAGTACCAACTTGTTACATAGCAATGAGAAATCTTTATTGTATTTGGAAGTAAAGAAGTTAAAGTGTTCTTAGTTTCTTTACCAGGAAAATAATGTTTTCCATTGTTATTATTAAAATATCTTAACTTGTATTCCAGTCAAGTCATATTTAACAGCTTTATTTTTCAGCCTAAGCTCATAAGCGTTTCCTTCTTCCTTTTTCAACTGCACAGCAGGCTCATTTTTAACTGTGTTTAGTTTGTATATTAATCTGTAGTCTTTGAAAAATAAATAATAAAAGTTAAATTTGATCAAGAAAAAACTCTTTGTTTTACAAAAGCGCTAGTCTTAAATTTACCACATAATTATGTTTTTATTTTACTGGTCTGTGATTCTGTATTTTTATTGTAATACCTGGTTTATTTTGATGTTGGTGTTAAAAAATGTGAATCTGTTTCTTAGGCGTATTCTACATCACAATTTGAAGAGCTTGAAATTGTGTAAGTATACATTTAGCCAGCTTCCCTTAGTCCCTGCTGTATTTTTTTTATTAATGCATTATAGTTGTACATAATGGTTGGATTTGTTCTTATGTATCTGTACATGCACACAATATAGCAGTATAATTTGGCCAAATTATTCCCTAGTATTTCCCCTTTCCCCCTCCTACTCCTGTACCCTTTACTTATCTCCCTTCTATTTTCATGAGATTCCTCACCCCTCCTACCTTTCTTCACCTTTCACCCTCTCTAGCTTCCACACGAGTAAATATGATCCTTGATCTTCTGAGTGTGCCTTGTTTTGCTTGRCATAATGGTCTCTAGTTTCATCCATTTTCCTGCAGATGACATAATTTCATTTTTTATGACTGAATAAAACTTCATGTACACACACACACACACACACACACACACACACACACACTACATTTTCTTCATTCATTTATCCATTGATGGACACCACACAGGTTAGTTCCATAGTTTTAACTATTGTGAAATGTGCTGCTTTAAACATGATTATGCATGTCTCGGCTATTGTATGATGACTCATTCTTCAGATTAAATACCAAGGAGTGGTATAGCTGGGTCATATGGTGGGTCCATTCCTATCTTTTGAGGAGCCTTCATGCTGATTTCCACAGTGACTATACTAGTTTACAGTTCCACCAATAATTTAAAAGTTTTCATTTTTATCCACATGACTGCCATTTTAACTGGGGTTAGATGAAATCTCAGTCTAGTTTTGAGTTGCATTTCTCTTTTGCTAATAATGCTAAATGTTTTTTCATATATTTGTTGGCCATTGTATTTCTTCTTTTGAGAAGTGTCTGTTTAATTCATTTGCTCATTATTAATTGGGTCATTTGCTTTTTTGGTGTCAAGTTCTTTGAATTCTTTATAGATTCTGGACATTAATCCTTAGTCAGAAGAGTAGCTAGCAAAGATTTTCTCCCATTCTGTAGACTCTCTCTCTTCACATTCTTTGTTTCCTTTGCTGAACAGAAAAATTTTAATTTGATGCCATTCCTTTTATTTCTCTTTGACATTATTTAGGGGTCCTATTGAGAAACTTGTTGCCTGTGCCTATAGGTTGGAGTGTTGGCTTTTTTCTTCTAGGAGTTGCATAGTTTCTGGTCAAATTCCTAGTTCTTAAATCCATTTTGAGTTGATATCTGGTTCTTTTATTCTTCCAAATAAGTTTTAGGAGTTTTTTCTAGTTCTGTGGAGAATGTCATTGGTATTTTGATGGGGATTGCTTTGTATATTGCTTTTGGTAATATGTTCATTGTAACAATATTAACACTGCCTGTCCATGATCACAGGAGGTCTTTCCATCTTCTTGTATCATTGTCTTTTTATTTCTTCAGTGTTCTATACTTTTATTATAGAGGTCTTTCACTTCCTCAGTTAGATTTATTCCTAGGTATTTTATTTTTCTTGAGGCTATTGTTAATGGGATTGTTTTCCTGATTTCTTTCTCAGTAGATTCATGTTGGTATATACAAAACTATTGGTTTTTGTATGTTTATTTTGTAACCTGCTGCTTTGCTGCATTTGTTTCTTAGCTTTGTGGTCTTTTGGTGGAGCTTTTTGGGTCTTCTAGGTACAAATAGGATCATATCTTTTGCAAACAGTAATAATTGACTTCTTTCCTTTTTTTTTTTTTAATTTCTTATTTCCCTCTCTGGCCTATTTGCTCTGGCTAGAATTTCTAGAACTGTATTAAACAGGAGTGGTGAGAGTGGACATCCTTGTCTTGTTCCAAATTTTAAAGATTATGTTTTTATTTTTTTTCCTCATTCACTCTGATGTTGGCTTTGGGTTCTATGTTTATAACCTTTATAATGTTGAGATAGGTTCCTTTTATTCCTAGTTTCTTCAGTGGTGTATTTTTTAAATCACAAATGGGTGCTGAGTTTTGTTAAAGGCTTTCTCTGCATCTGTTAAGATGACTAAGTGATTTTTGTCCTTAATCCTATTAATGTGATGAATTACATTTATTGATTTGTGTATGTTAGACCATCCTTGCTTTCCTGGGATAAAATGGATTTGGTCATGATTTACAATCTTCTTATCATATTGTTGAATACAATATTTGCTAATATTAAGTATTTTTGCATCTAAGTTCATCAGGGATATTGATCTATAGTTTTCTTTCCTTGGTGTGTCCTTATCTGGTGTTGATATGAGTATGATACCTGCCTTCTAGAATGAATTTTGAAGTATTCCATAACTTTCTATTTCATGGAATAATTTGAGGACCATTGGCATTAGTTCTTCTGTGTAAAAGTCTAAGAATTTAAGAATTTAGCTGAGAATCCTGGGTTTTTCTTTGTTAAAAGGCTTTTTCTTACTGCTTCTTTCTCATTGCTAGTTATTGATCTGTTCAGGTTTTCAATCCTCTTGATTGAATTTGGACAGATTGTATGTGTCTAGAAATATATCCATTTCTTCTAGGTTTCCAATTTATTGGAGTATTAGTTTTCAAAATAGTCTCGAATGATCCTCTGGATTTCTGTGATATCTCTGGTGATTTCTATATTTTCATTAATTTGGGTCTTCTGTCTTTCTTTTGGTTAGTTTGTCAAAAGGCTTATCAATCTTGTTTATCTTTTCAAAGAGCCATTTCTTTCATTGGTCCTTTGTATCGGTTTTTTTTATTCAAAATTTCATTGATTTTTTTGGCTTTGATCTCAATTATTTCCTTCTACTGGTTTTGAGGTTGGTTTGTTTTTCTTTTTCAAAGGCTTTGAGATGCATTATTAGGTTGTTTATTGGGCTCTTTTCTGATTTTCTTATGTAGCATTCATAGCTATAAACTTTCCTCTTAGAACTGCCCTCATAGTATCCCTGAGGTTCTGATGTGTTTTATCACTATTCTGATTTGATTCTAAGAATTTTTAAATTTCTCCTCTGATTTCTTGTATTATCCCATTCACCATTCAAATGTGTATTGTTCAGTTCCCATGTTTTTATATAGCTTCTGTAGGATTTTTTTTTTTTGTTTTTTGGTGTTAATTTCTAATTTCATCCCAATATGGTTTGATAAGATCCAAGGAATTTTTTTCAGTTGTTTTGTATTTGCTAAGAATTGCTTTGTGGTCTAAAATATGTTATTTTTTAGAGAATATTCATGAGGTGCTGAGAACAAAGTGTATTTAGCTGTTGTTGGATGAAGTATTCTATAGATGTCTGTTAAGTCAATTTGATTTGAAATATTTTTCAGGTTCAAAGAGTCTACTGAGTTTGTCTGGACGACCTATCTAATGGTGAGAGAGATGTGTTGAAATCACCCAGTATTATTGAACTGGGGTCTGTTTGAGGCTTTAATTTGAGTAGTGTCTCTTATGAAATTAGGTATATTAACATTTGGGTCATAAGTATTTACTATTGTTATATCTTCTTGTTGGATTGTTCCCTTTACCAGTATGTCTATTTGGGGCTCTGAATGCCTCTTGTATCTGGATATCAATCTCATTTTGAAGTTTGGAAAATTTCTCTGAAGAGGTTATCATTTCTGTTAGCCTGTACCTCACAGCCTTCTTCAATTCCAATGAATCTTAAATTTGAACTCTTAATATTCAGAGTTCTTGTATATTCTGATCATGGTTACTTATCTTCCTTTCTTTAAAACTGTCTGAATGTTCAAGGCTGGCCACTTTGTCTTCCAGATGCAATTCTATTCTCAGCATGGTTACTATATTAGACTTGATTGGGTCTTTCATTTGTATATTGGTTCTTAACCTATATTGACTTTCTTAATTTATTCTGTTTTTGAAATTCATTGATCATTTTTATAATCATTCTGTTGAATTCTTATCTGATAATTTCCTTCACTTGAATATCTTTGGAATCAGTTGCTCATGAATTATGAACTTTAGGAAGCTTCATTTTTTTTCAAAGGAATTTCTCATTCCTGTGTTGGGTTTTATGCATCTCTCAGGATGGATTTCTCTTTCACTCTTATGTGGGTCTTTTTAGAGCACAGCCTTCTCTTGTGAGAGTGTCCTTAAGTGAACTAGATTGAGACCCCCTCCTGAGTGTGATATCCACAGCCTTTGTGTTAATTCTGTTTTTGTTGTAGGTGTGGCTGTCTGTGATCCGGACCTGAAGGCACACTCTTAGCCCTTCCTATTTGGGGCCTTGTCTTAAGTTTTTGTCCCTTCTATTCTTCGTATTCAAGTATAGCTGAAGTTTGAGTATTGTTAATTTGTCTGTGGAGCAAGGTGTACCATCTTTTGGCTGAGTTTAGTTCTGCAGCAGAGTCTCTACCCTGTGAACTTGTAGTGACCCAGTAGATTCCTGGGACTTCACAAAAAAGGGGGAAATAATAGCAACACTTTATGCAAATAATATACAGCATTCAAATAAATACCAGGTGCCTACTGTAACCTTTACAACACTAATTATCACAAATACAGAAATGGTGGAGTCTGCAGTTGACAACAGCAAACACAATACATAACTGTAAACTAGATATGGCATTAAAACAAACAGCAAGTGTCAACTGTGGCATCCACAGCAGTAATAATTACAACATGAATGGTAGGGACAGGAGTTATATAAAACAAATAGTTCTAAAAGATGATAAAAATACAGTTCATTAAGAGAAAAGATTATGTGATAGGAAGTAGAAGAAAGTTTAGAATGTTTTACCATCTCCATAGCCAGGCCACAGGGTCTGTATCCTGATCTCCAAGCTCCCAAGGGCCCACAGACAAATAATTATCTAGAGCTGAGGGGCTCTGGGCCTCCCCAAGGTTGAGCAGCCAGAGAGCAAGGTTTCCTGGTCAAAGGGATGCCTGAGGTACCATCAACAGCATAGCTGCCATGGTCTTTTGGATAATGTGACTGATGAACCCTGGCTTTCTAGCTCCTACTTGGTGTGATGTAGAATATGAATATACTGGGTAATTAATTAATAAAAGGGATATGTGCTGGTGAAAAAAAATGTGAACAAATAGAAAGCAACAAATGATGGTTATAAAGAAGGAAAAAATATGAACACAAAAGGAGGGAGAAAAAATAGGAGAATTCAGCTATTAGAAGAAGAAAGGAGAAAAAGGAATAAGAAAAAGAAACAAAAACAAAACAAAAAAATAAAAACCCCAAACTTTAGAAGATAAGGCAAGGAAAAGTAACTGTTAAAAACATACTAAAAATGAGAAAAAAATAAATATGCATATATGTATGTCCACAGCTTAAAATTAGTATTTGAGGAATAACACTTTTAATTAGAAAATAATTATAGTCATAATATTGGTAAAATAGAACTTGTCATATGTGTTATTCTGTGCTGAATAGTAAAAATATTGACTGCAGTCAGTATAGGAGGTGTCAGATTTTGTAGATGCTCATCCTGAAACCAATTTTATATACTGTGAAATCTGTTTTCTTAAGCTAAATGAGGCTGCACTGGTGAGGAATGGTATCAGGACCTTAGCTTTTTGGTTCTCTCTAGAGTCACTTCAAAGGGATTTTTCTTTAATGTGGTACCCAGCAATATTTATCAGTGTTTGTTTTTAAGAAGTTTCCTCTTGAAAGTAGTCTTTGAAATTAAGATAATGTGAATATTTATWAAGTCATTTATGAATACAAGGAAGATGACTTCTTGACAACAAGATGGCTCATTTGTGCAACTAATTTATCTCTTGGGCATTATATAACTGTCAAGGTGTTTTTCTCATCTTCTAAGAGAAAGCTTAGGACACTTGTGGCATCTTTGTAGTTGGTATATAAATTATGAAAGTGTATATTTTAGGTTTATTTTTGCCTTACCTTTTACTTGTATTTTATTTTTAAATTAATAGACTTTATGGGGGCATATTTAGGTTTACAGAAAAATGAGAGAAATTAGGTATACAGAAAATATGAAAAAGAAAAACAAACGAGAGTTCCCATATCCCCCTTTCATTTCCCCTGTTATTAACATTTTTCATTAGTAATACATATATTTAAAGCAGTTTATAGCCAATAGCAATACGTTTTTTTAAACTGAACATCAGGTTTTTGTTGGAATTCACTCTGTAGATTTTAACAGACATATAATGACAGTATATTCATTATAGTATCATACAGAATAGTTTTGCTGACCTAAAAATCTTCTGTACTTCACCTGTTCATTTATCCATCCTCCTTTCATTTATTCCCCCCTCCTATCCCCCTCACCCTGAATTCTGGCAACCATGGATCATCTTACTATCTCCATAGTTATGCTTTTTCCAGAATGTCATAGTTGGAACCATATAATATGTAACTTTTTCAGATTGGTTTCTTTCACTTTAGCAATATGTACTTAAGGTTTGTCTTTTCATTCTTTTATCCCACATTTATTATGTGTGCGACTGTATTTTTCATATTGACCTATAAGCATCTTGATATTCTTTTTGGATTTAAATGGAATAAAAATAGTGTTCCATTCAGCAAATACCTGAGAACCTTCAGATACTGGAGATACTGAGTTCCTGCTTGGATAAGATGGATAAACCAAACATTTAGCAGTATAGTTGGGTGCTGGGGCACACACCTATAATCCCAGCTACTTAGGAGTTGGAGGCAAGAAGATATGCAAATTCAAACCCAGCCTCGGTAACTTAGACCCTGTCTCAAAATAAAAGATAAAAGGCCTGGGACTGTACCTCAGTGGTAGAGCGCCCCTGGTTTTAATCCCCAGTGGCTTGCTTGCTCCTCACAAAAAAGGTCGTACGTGTTGCTTGGATGACAAAGTCAGGTGGAATTCACTTGGGCTAGATTGACTAAGACTATAAGGGTGTACCTGACTAAATTATATGTAACACCTTTTTTAGCACATTAGTTGGGTATATTGTAACTTCCAGGGCCAGTGAATTATGGCTAACATTCTTGGGAGCAATACTCATTTCTTTTTAAGTGATACATTTTCTAACAGTTTCATGAAATACAGTTTTGCACATACCTTTTGTTTTTCGAGTTTTCTCTAGATAAAATCATAAAATGTTATATACAAAATAAGCTGTAACAATTTTAGGATGTTCTTAATTTTGAGTAGAATGATGTGGAAATACTTTCTTTTGAACAAATTCAAAAGTTTGTAGTATGAAGAGAAAAAGATTGTAGGCATTGTTTATGCTATCATTTTTCTTAGGGGTAATATTGGAGTCTGGCTTTCCTTTTCAGTGCACACTAGTAAGATAAGTTGTTTGTAAAAATTCTAGGTTGAAAGAGAAGGAAAATGAAATGAAGAGAATAGAAGCTGTGCTAAAAGAGAGGGAGAGCGATCTTTCTAGCAAAACAAAGCTGCTACAGGTGAATATGATAACTTAAAATTAATTATTGGGTGAGTTATTATCTTTGCGTATTTTTAAAATGCTTTTGCTGCTACGAAAAGGGACGAGAATGCCGAGCAAGCCTTCCTAAACAAATATTGTGTCTCATTCCTTAGAGATAACTACTGTCATTTTTGGTTAATATCTTTTGAGAAATCACCAATACATAAAATATATAAATGTATATTTACTTGTATTACTTATATAGTTTTATTTGTTTTGTTTTCTTCCCTAATTACCAATGTTTTTGAGGTCTCTCCAGGGAAGTACATTTCTGGCTTTAACTTTGAATAGCCTTTTGTATTATTTATATAATCAATCCCAGTTGGTGGACTCCTAGACTGTTCAGTGTTGTTTTTTGTGTTACAAACAATTCTGTAGTGAATACATTTTGAATAATTTTGCTCCTGTCTCTGTGTTATAAATTTCTGGGTCAAAGGTTTATGCAGATGTTTTATTTTGAAAGAGCTTAAATAGGAAGTCAGTATCTCCTCACCTTCATGTAGTTAATGTTTAGGTACTTACAGAACAGTGATTTGAAGTCATTACATGTTTGTATATGTCTTCAGTGTCTTGAACTAGTTTTGCTCACATTTCATACTGTAAGGGTTGGTTCTGTCACATGCCTCTCCCTCCCAGGTAAGCTTATTTTAAATTTTGTTAGGTAATGTTAAATTGCCTTCCAAAAATGTTCCTACTAATTTAGTCTTGCTAATAGAGGCCCACTTCCCAGTGTTCCAACACTGACAAAAGATGATAACATTTGATATCATTCTTGAAAGCTGATAAGATTGTTTTAAATTTGTGTTTGATTGTGAGAGAAGTTAAGCATTCTTCATGTGTTAAATTGATTTGTAATTAAATTTTTTAAATTTTTTTCTATACTTTTTCTTCTGGAATGACTTACTATTCTTACTAATTTATTATATGCTTTTTACATAATAATGGAAATTGGCCTTTTCTTTTTTGTAGTTGTAGATGAATAGCATGCCTTTATTTTATTTGCTTATTTTTATGTGGTGCCTCATACATGTGAGGCAAGCCTGGAAATAAGCCTTTTGTTATTATTAGTAAGATACTTTTTATATAATAACCTGGAAATTAGCTTTTGTTATTATGAGTTGATTTGTTTGCCCGAGTTTTTCTTTTGACTTTTTTGTGTATGTGTGTGTTTTCCCCTCTCTTTTGGAAGTTTAATACTTTATCAAGAAAGGCTAGGTCCATTATTAAATAATCCATCTTTTCTGAAGTGGTTTTGCTCCCCAGGGCACATTTAGCAATATCTGGAGATAAAACTTTGGTTGTCAAAGCTGGAAGAAAGGTGTTATTGCATCTATTAGATGAAGGCTATGAATTGCCAAATGTTCTACTATATATAGGGCAACCTCCTACATCAAAGAAACATCCAGTCCAAAATGCCACTAGTGCTAATTGAGAAACCTATTTCTACTAATGTGAAATGTCACTCCATACTGAATTCCTATAAATATTTGGGCCTATTCTGTCTTCTATTTTGTTTCATGAAGATGTGTCACTGCCAGACTAGTACTAAGTATAATTACTGTAATTACATATTTAAAATAAGGCCTATTACATCCTTTTAAGATTGTTACTATTTTGCAATTTTTCTGGATTGTATGATGTACTTCAAAAACTTATGGAAAATAAAAGTCTCTGTTGGGTATTCATGTCTTATTTTTGTTGAAATAGGAGGTACAAGATGAAAACAAATTGTTTCAATCCCAGATTGAGCAGCTTAAGCAACAAAATTACCAACAGGTAGGTATTATTAAATGTCCTGCCTTTTGCCTTTGTGGTAAAAATTATACAACCAACAAAATTATAATATATAAAAATATAATAAATATATATTGTAAAAATTATACAATAATTAGTCTTGCAGTTTTTTACATTTTCATTGAGATTAAAGAGTTCTATTATTTATACAAACATTTATCAAATTTCCTGTAAGACAAAGCAATTTGCTATGCCATAGCCAAGATAAAATAATCTACAATATATAAAAATATACCCAAATAATATTATTATCTGAATTTAGCTTTTTTTTTTTTTTATATCTGTCTGTATTCTGATCCTCTAGATTGCTTTTCTCATGAAGTTACTTAAAATCTTACAGAGGTCATTTTAAACATGTCTATGCTATTGTTGCTTTCTAAAAAAAAAAATCAATAATTGGAGAAAAACAAGTATGTTGTAAGTAATGGTGTATCTACCATTATTTAAAATATATATTCAAGGTGGTAACTCTGCTTGATAAAAATAAAATTTAAAAATTTTAAATGGCATATTCCCCACAATTTTATTTACAAATGTATGGATACAATATTATTTATTTTGAAAGGCAAAGAATTAGAATCCTGAGCTGAGATTGTGGCTCAGTGGTAGAGTGCTTGCCTAGCAAGAGTGAGGCTCTGGGTTTGATCCTCAGCACCACATATAAATAAATAAATGAAGGTTATTAAAAAAAAAAAAAGGAAGTAGAATCCTGGTTGACAAGAAGTTTGTAATATTTAGGTTGGGAGATTGAAGTCATCAAGGAATAAATATGTGAAGGCTGTGTGCATATTATGTAAAAGTGAACTTTTTGTTACATATTAGGAAAATTTCCAAACTTTCCTTTTGATTTCATTTTCATTTAAGGGTTTTTTAAAGTTACTTTTGAAAAATTAAAATTTTTACATAGTGAAATATGGATTATAAAGTATGGAAATTCAAGCTATTTCTATTACTGGAGTCCTAGGCAGGAAGACTGGCTCCAGGGATCCAAATAAATAAAATGTGGCTAGTTGCCCACAAAACAGAAAAAGTAATGGTGAAAATCAGGAAAGGAACTTAAATCTTGGTGGGACACCAGGAAGTAAAAGGGAAATCAGTGTTTCTAGCCTTGTCTTTGGGGGTACTGGCATGAACTTACAGATTATATAGACAAGAGGAACCAGAAATATGCATAGTTTAGCAATCTTGGTCAGATTGTGGCCTGGTTTTTTATTATTTCAGAATTGGTCAGGATGGCATTGTTGGGATGATGAAAAAGTTATTGTTGCCTGGGGAGTAGTTTTGACTCATTACATGATGTTTATCGATTATACCTCTTGTACCTGGAATCCAAGGTGATTTAGAACAAAACATCAGATATAAACTGGAGACAGAGATGTCAAGTTTTTCCTTTTGCAAGCCCAAGTGAAAAGTCAGTGTTTTTAGTTAAATATTACCTCAGTGCTTTGCCCATAGGAACTTAATAAGTATTTGTTAAATGAAGAGTTTAAGTATATAGTGACAATGAAAATTAGAGTTAGTACTCAGTACATCTTACAAATTTGTACATGATTTTATTAAAATCACAAAGTTAAGGTGCTAACACGGGGGAACAATGGTATTTTCTCTTTTGGTATTGTCTTAATTTATATGTGAGAAGATTTTTTTTTTTCTTCTAGAAAGTTTTGTTTTGAAATAACATTTAATTCTTTTTAAATAGGTATCTTCTTTCCCCCCTCATGAGGAATTATTGAAAGTGTAAGTAATAAGTTTGATTCATAGTTTGGGAAGTGATAACATTTTATGTGCTAAAGAGTTCTCAGAAATAATTTAATGGGACTGCAAATGATCACCTATTTTTTACAGTTCTGTTTACATATCTTGAACTGCTCATCAGAGGAGTTTAGCTGTGTCTTTGGCTGGTGGATGCTCCTTCTAATTGTATTTAGATTTCTTTGAGTATCTTGCTAAGGGAGATATTTTTTTTTCTCTTTTTTTAGGCATTAGGAAAATATCCAATCAAACTACACTTTAACAACTTTACTAGATCACCTTTAGTTACCTCAGTTTTCCTACTGAGTCTTCTTTATTCTAGATCTCATTGTGCAATATAATGGTTCACATTTTGGGTTAACTCTTGGATTTTAAAGAAAATTTATAATCTTTCCACTTGCTCTCTTTTAAGTAGAACTTTAAAAAAAAAACTGAAAGTTCTTTTTGACCTATAACTTTTGCTAGGAGGCTACATTTGAGGTCATTTCAGATAAGTTATAGCATGTGTCAAGTGTTAAATCTCAGCCACATTAAGAATATTAATAGGTGATATTGGTAATCTAAATGGTTAGATTTAATCTAAATAATAATTTTCCTTTTGGCTTCTTTATAAAGTTGGTCACTTATTTGGTTAGAATTATTTACTATTTTTTAGTCTTGATCCTGGATCTGTAAAGATTTTCTATTAAAGGGTCTAATAATGAATATTTTAGATTTTGGGATCTACGTAGGTCTTTGTTTCATACTATTTTTATTTTTCAACCTTTAAAAACAAAACAGGAGACTAGGCATGATGGTGCTTTTCTGTAGTTCCAGCTACTTGGGAGGCTGAGGTGGGTGGATTACTGGAGGCCGTGAGTCTGAGACTATAGCCTGAGCAATATATACTTAAAATAAGTTTATGCATGTAAATTTATTTTAAGTTCAAAATGTTGTATGAGCAACATAGTGAGACCTTATCTTTAAAAAAAAAAAAAAAAGTTAAAACAGCGCTTATTTCAAGGCCATACTAAAACAGACTCTGGGCATGGCACCCCTTATTTAGAGCCTTATTCTTAAGAAGGAGCTATCTGTAATTTAACTCAAGCCACTCTTAACTATGAATCTTTGCCATGGCTTTCTGCATTTATGGGAAATAATTAGTTCATTGGATAGGACCATGGGGGAAAAAATAAATAAATCCTAAGATGTGAAAATGGCAAAATTACTCCTTGCTCATTTTAATATCATGCTTTTATTGTGGTTTAGTTACTTAAAGCCATAACTGTTTCATTGCCTTCTGCGGAAAAAAAAAAAAAATTAATGTAGGGGACTGCCTTTGTATCAGTTTTCACTCTTCTGAAAATAGCTGATCGAGGTAAAAAAAGGAAAATAACTGTGATGACAGTGGTTCATGTATTCATGAACTATTTCTTAATAGTTGTTTTCTTTTTAGAACAAACCTCAGCATTTCATATGTGTAAACTTCTTTGAAAAATCATTTCTGAAATTAAGAATTCGTATGATGGACTTTCTGTGGTAAATAGTAGCTAAGTTAATACAGTTTTCAGAACATCTATTTTGTGATAACAAATATTCATACATAGGTATCTAAATTACATTATTGTTTACCTAATATCGAAGTTGTGTTACTGTTCATCTAAAATCACTGTTTGCCTAAAATATGTACTAATATTCTGGTTTAGAATTTCAGACAGAGAGAAGGAAATAACTGGTCTCCAGAATGAGTTAGATTCTTTGAAAGATGCTGTTGAACACCAAAGGAAGAAAAATAATGTAAGTAAATCTAAATAAAAATAAAACTTCTTTTTATTCAACATTGAAAAGTTGCTTCAGAAATATTTTTCTTAATCTTTGTAAGAAAGTACTATTGCTTTCTATGTTTTAACTTTTTTGATAAGAGGTGCATGATTAGAGTAATCATTTTATTGAGGAGTAGATTTTTTTAATAGGTAAAAGACAATTTTTACACATAGAAATATTTTAACTATTAAAGCTTTGGATTTTTTAACTAAAAATGTAATTGACTTTTTATTGAACTTTTATTTGGAAAAATAATCTTTCAAACTCAGTATTTTAAAATCAAAGATATTTACTCCTATTTAGATCAGGCTAGCCTTTTTATAGACTAAAAGTAATGCCAGTATTGATCAATAATTAAGTTTTCAGAGCCTTCTGGAGCTTTCCTTTCCTTTTTTTTTTTTTTTAACTTGAGATGCAGTGCGTGTTTTGGTAATTAAGTTTGTTAGAAGCCCTAGAACCTGAATGCATTTATACTAAAATGGGAGGGAACAGTTCTTTAGGAGCTCTTAGTCTGGTATTCTTTCTGAACAGACAAATAGTGAATTTAGGTGAATGTCATACATTTTCTCTTACCAGAAGGTGATCCCTATAAATAGAGTCCAAAAATTCTTGCTCTAGGATGCATTTTTGTACATAAAAATATGATTAATGAGACCAAATTATTATTGAAATCTAAGGAGATGTTGATAATAAATATATATGTTATCTAGTATAAGTTAAACTTTTAAAAATTTGGGTCAAATTGTTAATTTAACAAGTTGGCATTTTCCTGCACCCCTGAGTTTGTCAAAATTAGGTACATGAGTTGCCCTTCGTATGTCATGTAACATTACTAACAGCATTGCTTAGCAACAGAACTTGAGGTGAACTTGCCAATATCCTGCTAACATTTTAACTGTGTTTTATTGGGATTTTGAGATAAGGAGGGCATGGTAATGCCAGTTTAATACAGGAGCAGCAGCAATGGCAACGGCACCGGAGGCCTTGAAGCGTGGAAAGAGCCAGGACACTGGAGGCCGGCAGAGTGCAGCGTCAGTCCATTCTAGTTCTGCCACTTCATTTACTTTGTATTGGTGGCCAGATTTCCTAACATTCAGTTATGGTTCCCTCTCTATAAAATGGGAATAAATATTATAAATTGTTGTAAGCATTAGCGAGAATTTGTGATATGCCAAATACAGTATTTGGCACCTAAGTATTCAATACATGGTGAATATTGGCTTTTTACTTTTGGGTTATATTTAGATTTCTGATTCTGAAGTAAGACTGAAAGTTAGCAGATTGTCTTTACTTATATTTGCTATTGAAATGCTGTTAAAATCAAGATCTTTTGGAGCTCAGTTTTTCGATGACCTTTGTTTCTCCTGTATGAGAACATGTTTTACAGTTTTCCAGCTGCCTATTTGCCTCACACAACTAGTTTGTACAGTTTGTGTTAGGTTGGTTTTGTGGCATACACATTTGACCATGCCATGAAAGAAAGGGAACACAGTAAATTACTGTGTCATTTTTAGGTATACTAGAAATATGTTAACTTTATTAAAACATTAAAGGAAAAAATGTGCTACAGTGGAAAGTCCCATGATAATATTGGGCCCTTTTAAAAATCACATGAAAAGCTTTTTGCAATACTTGTGTATTTGCTCTGTCCTTAATCTTCTAATGTTCAGTGTACCCGAAATCATACTTGTGATCTTGGTTTGTGTGTTTACTTTTGAATGCTTTCTTCTTTTTCACGTGTGCACAGTAATTACTTTTAAAGCTGGCATATTCAGTGTGTGTACKAAGGAAGGCGGGCATCTTTATTTTCTCATTCAAACTTCTAAACATTGCTTTTTATTTTTTTGCTAATATACATACTTTCCCATTGAAATGATTTTGCAGTAACCAGCATTTAAATGCAGTGCAAAATACTGATGAAGTGAAACGCAAAAATTTTTTAATAATGGATAAACTGAAATCATTCTTTCTAAAAATGATTAGGACCTTCGGGAGAAAAACTGGGAAGCAATGGAAGCATTGGCATCAACTGAAAAAATGCTGCAGGACAAAGTGAACAAGACTTCCAAGGTTGTAATGCTAACTCTTAGAAACAATCCACTGAACAGAGAAAATCTGCAGCTTGTCTTAAAATCAGACTAAAGCATTTAATTTTACTGCAATTTAAATATAAAATCTTACCATCCACATTTATCATTTCTTGTCATTTCTGCTTTTTTCGTATACTCCTTGAGGCTTTAGTTTTGGGCATGCTTATTTGTTGGGATGATCTCTGTTGGAGCTTTTGCTGAAGAGTCTCAGAAGGCCTGTGCTAGGCACATAGGTTTTTTTCAGAAAGTGTGCCTGTTGGGGGTAGTTAAGAGAACTTCAGTGAAAACCCCAAACCAAAGAAATCTGTTTTAGCAGACACATACCTAACATGTATCTGTGATGCACAGCAAACAAGATTTTGGGGGAAGGAGGCTACACCAGGAAGAAGTAATGATAAGTCTTAAGAAATATAGGAAAGATATCAGTTCTGAGTATGTTATTGAAGATGGTTCTTTAGGAGAAGGGGACTTAAACTTTTTACATTTTGAGGCAGGTGGATAGTAATGACACATGAGTCATGTTTAAAATGGAATATTAGTATCAAGCATTAATTATTTTGACCAGAGTTTGGAAAGTACTCCTGAAACACATAATCCTCATTGTCTTCAGAACAATGAAGGACATTCTCCTTGAGCTTAACTTGTTTATTGGGTGTGAAGATTTGTAATGAATTATAACGAAGGAGTAGTTTTTAAAGATTGAGAGAATTGAATCAATGTGGAACAGGAGTATTGAATTTTGTAGATGGGTTATTGAAAGAACCCATATAATTTAATTCAGCATTCTTAAAGTGGTTTATGTGCCAAGGTAATCTGCTGAATTTTAAATACAAATCTTAAGACATTTGAAGGCTTTTCTTAGCAGAATATAGTTTTACATTTCCCTTATTTGTTATTTACTTATATGCCTGTTGACTTGATTGTAATTTTTACTAAAACTTAAATTTGAAATAGTTGAGTAGGTATTAGGAGTGGAGAAATTTAGGCCACAGAGTAGAAAAATCTAGAATAGTCAAGGCATTATTGTTTAATTGTGAATGGTTGCAGTTGTATAGTCACAGTTCTGCCTGTTTCTGTACTTTTGTTTTTCACTGTTAAGAGCTACCCTTTACCATTTATTTTGCTAGTAATACTGGATGTCTAGAAAGTGCTGATCTTGCCATTCCTGTAAGAAGCTACCTGCCACCTTCGAGAGCATGTTTGCATATTATGTTTCTAAAAGAGAGCTAGATTTTGTGTGCATGATGGCTTTTTGCACAGCTAATGATCTACAGAGAATAAAATTCAGTCTTCTCCATTTTAACAAAATTTAGACAGTCCTTAAATAGCATAGGTGTCAAGTGATATTGATTGACCCAGCCACAAATTGTATTGCAAGAAGTAACCATGTAACACATTTCAGTGATTTAGGTATTAGAAATAAGTAACAGTCAATTTACCAAATTTCCAGGACTATTTTTAAAGTAAAAAATACTTTTGAGGAGCTACTATAAATGACAGGTTTACATAAGATATATACATACATACACACACACACATACATACATATATGTACCACTTAAAGATGGTAAGGAAATTATAATGCAATATCCAACATTAGATCTTTTCCTGGTGTTGAAGTGGAATAATGGATTATAATCAAACCATTATGTCAAATGAAAACTTTTTAGCTAAAATTGTTAATACAGAATAAAAGTAACTTCTTGTTGGGGTGTGTGGTTCAATGGTAAAGCTTCCTAGGCTTGCCCTGGAAGTGTGATAACCCTGGGTTTGATGCTCATCCCTGAGGGTTGGGGGTGGGCAATAAAAGTAACTTCTCATCTTTGTAGCCCTTGTTAGAAGTTAGACACTACTGCCCTGGTCAGAGACCCTGAAGGCTTAGGCAGGAGGATTTCAAGTTCCATCCAGCCGTAGCAACTTAGAAAGACCTTATCTCCAAACAAAAAGAATTGGGGATGTAGATGAGTGGTAGAATGCTTCTAGGTTTCCATCTTGCTACCACACAAAATAAAACAAAAAGAAGTTAAACATTCACTTTAGTTCTTTTTTTTTTAAATAAGTTTTCAAAAAGCTTCTGTTCCACAGTCTTTTCCTAACTAATTTTCTTTAAAGATTGCCTGTGATAATCACTGATCAAATAGTAAAAATTACCTCAAAATTGGGCAGGGCATATAGTCAGTTGGTAGACTGCTTGCCTTGCATGCACAAGGCCCGGGGTCGATCTCCAGCACCACACACAAACACCCTCAAAATAGCCTCTGAAGTTGTTGTTGTTGTTGTTGAATGACTACACCTTATTTTATGCTGGTGGGTGTATTTCTGCAATTTAGTGAACTTTGTTGAATTATTGAAAATGCCCCAGTAAAACAACTATTTGAAAATACTGCCAAAAGTCCTTAATAAAGTAATAGCAATATGATGAAATCTCTAGCTTTTTGTTATACAGATTTAGATTTTCATGTAATTAGATTTTCTTAAATTGAAATGTGTGTACCTTAAGTCAGTAATTGATTTCAAAGATCCATCTTAAATGATTAGAGAAAGATATAATTAAGATGTTGCTAGCATGTTTGCTTTCTTATCATTTGTTGAAACTCAGGAGTGTTGTTTTGTGATGATTTTCTTGGCTTGGTATAGATGTACATTTTTATAGTTTGTTTTTCCTTTTAAGGAGATAGTTTGATTATTAGATTTTGGGGGACAGGTGTGATCAAATAATCACCCTAATTTTGACAAACAATGGTTTTGAGTTTATTATCCATTGAAGTTGGATTTAGAATCAGCAACTTTAGATTTATACATTTGTAATACTTTAAATTTACAGCTGATGGAGTCCATGTACAAGTGTCAGAATTAGTCTTCTTTATGCTCAGCATTAGTGAAATAATGTCATTAGTTTTTCCTTGTTCTCTTCTTTTTCCCATTTTTTTCCACCCATGAATTTTTGGTGGTTCTTTTGTTTAGCATAAATAGCTTCACCTGACATTGAAGATGGAAATATGAAATTTCCCATTTTATTTTTAATTAATTACCATGGCATTATAGTCCTATGATTGATGGGTTTTTTTTTAATCGAGATTTGGTAGCTAGTAAATGTCATTTATGTTGCCCAGATACGTATTTCTTGGTAAGGTAGTTTATAAAGTTTTAACTCTACAGAAGTTTCCGCCCTGCCCCCCTTCTTTCTGGTTGGGGTGTGTGTGTGTGTGTGTGTGTGTGTGTGTGTGTGTGTGTGTGTGTGTGTTTGGAATTGTTCCTGGAAAGGCAAATCATTTGATTTCTAATGCCAAGGAAAATGACCATATTATCAGATATTGTTTTGGCTTGATTAATATAAAACATTATTTGCTACTTAGGATGCTTTAGAGATTTTGCAGATTTTTTCTAATTTTGAAAGCATTTTAATATTTTAAAATGAAAAATCCTGACATTTGCCAGTATTAAAGTAATTTTTGTTTTACATTGATTTTTTCCTCCTTTAGTGCTTAAAAGACCATAGTTTTTTCTCTTCTTTTAAAAAATTGTTATTTTCTAAGTTTGATTTGGTCTGTTTTCTGCTTTAGGAAAGACAGCAACATGTAGAAGCTGTTGAGTTGAAGGCTAAAGAGGTTCTCAAAAAATTATTTCCAAAAGTGTCTGTCCCTTCTAATTTGGTAAGAATAATTTATTACTTTTTTAACATGACATTATTCAAGAAAGTTGAATGCACAGTATTTGCTGTCAACACTTGGTTTTGATAGTGTGTCGATACCTTAATCTGTCCCTTCATTAATCCAGGGTGCTTTTGAGTAGTTATAAAAGATACCTTGTTTCACAACTCATGTATATATTCATCTGAAACTTTTGTTGTATTCTATAAAATTTAGAGAATTATAAACATATCTGGGAAAGAATTGTTTCTGAATGGTCAATAAAACCAATAATATTCTTAATGGTTTTGCTCAAAGTAGAACTTAATTTTAAGTGATTACTTCTTAGTTGTAGCAACATTTTATTTCTTTGTGTACTCAATACTATGAACCCAACCTCTACATTGTAAAACTCAAGATTTTGGTCATCTTATTAACTTCTTCAAGCAAAAATCTTAAAGATAATAGAAACAACTTGATTTATGTAAGGATGTACATGTTTTAAGTAGGAAAGAAAAGTTAATTTGGTTCAGAAAATTACACAGAAAGTATTTGAGAGTGGAGAAGTCCAGTGAATATGCACGTGTTTCTTAAAGTGGTGGGGTACATCTTTTTTATTTTAATGGAAAATAGTTTATGTGTTCAGAAGAAGAGATACTGGAATAGTGAGCCCAATATCCTTCTTGAGCAATTATCAATATATGCCATGTATCAATATAAACAGTCTTGTTTTACCTCCCATCTTGCACTGCATGGGTTATTTTGAAGGCATTCAAACAACAGTGTTTCTTTCCAAAAAAAAGAATTCCTTTAAATATAGTATTACATTAAGAAATATATTCTTCATTTTGTATATTTAGTCATTGCTTGCATTTCTCCAGTTGTGATATAAAATTGTTTCAATTAAATAAACTGATGAAATATCTAGCCCTGGGTAAATACACTGTCAATTCAAGTGCTATTATTACATTGAATCTACAAGGAGGGCTTACAGTGAATATATTTTATAATTTTCTTTTGTGGCCATATTTATTTTTGTTTCTACTTTATTAATGGAAATACAATTTAAAGATTTATTTATTTGGCAGTATTAACCAAGAGAATTAATGACTGGTAGTTGCTGTTTTTCAAAGATTGTGAAAGACTACCAACAGCAAAAATTTTCTTCTAAATGTGGCATATTCATTTTGATTTCTTTTAAATTTTGGTGCTGAGGATTGAATCCAAGGCCTTGCATGTGCTAGGCAAATGCTCTACCACTGAGCTACATACCCAGCCTTTTTTGTTTTGAGACATTGCCCAGACTGGCCTTGAAATGTATGATCCTCTTGCCTCAGTCTCCCGACTATCTAGGATTACAGGCATGTGCCACTGTGCCCAGCACAATTTCATTTTTTTTCCAGTTTTGATTAGTGTACTATAGTTATACATAATATCAGGGTTTATTTTGACATATTCATAGATGCATATAACATAATTTGGTCCATTTCAGAGAATTCATTGTTAATAGTAGTAACCCCTTGACAAWAACCAAATGACTAAAAATTTATAAATCACCAATAAAACATGGAAGATATTCTTTGGCTTTTGTTCATGTAAATACTTATGCATATTGTCTGTATCTGAAAAATACATTAAACTAAACATTAATAGACTTTTATACATTAGATTTTTTTTTTTAATTTGCTGTTGCTGTTTTGCTGAGCAGATTAACATGGAGAGATTAAACTATATGACCTTGGTGAGGGAGATTTATAAATGTTAAGTGATTAAATCAGTTTTTCATCTAATTTTAAATCTCAATATTTGAAGCTGTTAAGTAGAAGTTAAATCATATACTTGGAGTTGTGGTTCAAATTTATAATGTGAAAATGTCATTCTTTTATAAAATGGAAAAGCTATGTAAACAATGTGATGTTGAAGGTATTGTACTATGGGGTGATCTCAGCATCTTATTTTTATTCTTATTTGATTGTTGATAGACCATCTCAAATTCAGCCACAGAAGTAAAATGCTTTATAAGAGTTAACAGAAACATAGTGTTCCTTTTTGAGTTAAACTAAAGACTTAAGAGATGTATAAGAAGAAATTTTGATTTGTAATATTGAACAAATACTCTTTTCATCAGAGTTTAAAATTCACAAAGGAAGCTTGAAAGATTTAGAATAATTTACTCTGAAATTTAGAATAATGTCTAAAACTAGAATATGTGTTATTCATGTCAGTTAACCTCCCACACCTCAATGTCTTTATAGTTTAATCTCTCCATGGGGATCTACTTATCAAAACAGCAATAGGAAGCAATAAAGTATTTATTTCATGTATAAAAGCCTTTTTAAAGCCAATGATTTTATTAAATTATGCTAATAACAAAGAAGCTTATTTCTTGATGTTTCAAGATAAATATTTTCTTATCCTTCATATCTTACAAGTTGAGGTTTTTGTTGGATTTGAGGAATTGTTTGCACATGCATGTCATTTCTCATTATGACTTTAAAAATTATAATATACAGTTTTTAATTTGATGTAGCATTTTCAGGAACCCCTAAATGCTATCAAAGAATTTGAAATCCTCTGGGCAAAACTTAACTTACAGTTTTTAATTCAGGGTACTTAGTTTTTAAGCACTGTTGTATTTGAAAAGAAGTTTTTAAAAATTAATTATTCTAGATTTCCAGTGATTTAAAGATTGAGTTAATTGGTCCTGGTGCTTGTAAGTGGTGGAAGCCAGGTTTGAGCCTTGGTCTTCTATCTTTGAGTTCAGAATTGAGTTGCAAATATTGTTTGTCAGGATAAATAGGAATTTTATTTTGATGGTGGTGCATAGGTATATTTTTAGTGTTACATTGCCTCTTTAATATTTCTAATGAGATGTTATCTGTGAAGTTTTCTTTTATATTTGTCTACTTTAGTTACTTTAAATGTTTGATTTATTTCTTTTAGATTTTTTTTGGAAATCGATGACTTTGTCTTTTTCCCCCTACAGAATTACAGTGAATGGTTGTGTGGATTTGAACAGAAGGCCAAAGAATGTATAGCTGGAACTTCAGGTTCAGAGGAGGTTAAGGTTGGTACAAAAAGTGAATTGTCCAAATTTAAACATGGAAAAAGGAGTAAATCAGAACTTGTTTTCATAAACTCTGGAAAGATATAAAAGATGTATTTTTAGTAGGATCATGATTTTTTGAGGAAAGTATAAGAAGGTGATTTCATTTTGTATAGAGTTTAGTGAAAATACTATTAAGTTTTCCTTACATCTGATTATGTACAAAGCTAAAGTCCTCCCTTTCTCTAACTGTGTCATAATCATTTCTAAAACAATATGTGATTATCTCTTTCTTTTTAGTTTGAGTTTAAAAAGTAATGATCAGTTGAGGTAGGTAGGTTGAGTCTTCATGGTTTTCTGCAGTGCCTCCATATGTTCCACTAGTAGTATTAAAAACCTGAATTGGAGTTTATCTTTGACCACTGAAAGTGAGGGAATTTAATATTAATATTTCTCTTGAATCTCAAGTGGCATGAATAAAATTCCTTTTCCTGTCTGTAAGATGAACATTGTAGCCTTTACATKTGTGTCTACTTTGATTTTACCATCTGACTAAAAAGCAATAAACTCATTGACCATAAAATTATGTAATCTATTTTGAGTGAGTGGACTTCAAAAGTTTTACTAGTAAACACTGAATGACCAAAAAGTCATTGAACTTCATTGCTGCTTGGAAGGTTGAAATTTAGTACTTCACTGTGAACAGTCTGAAACCGTTTATTGTAATGTAACATTAAATACTAAAACAAATTTGAAGAACAAATCTTGTAAAATTAGAATTTTTTAAAAAAATTTCATTCTTTGCAGGTTCTAGAGCACAAGTTGAAAGAAGCTGATGAAATGCACACGCTTTTACAGCTGGAGTGTGAAAAATATAAATCTGTCCTTGCAGAAACAGTACGAAATGACTTTTAAATCATTAACTTATTCATTTATAGCCTAAATAGTTTAACATGAATTTTTCCAAACAACTGTACCTTTGTCTGTAGGAAGGAATTTTACAGAAGCTTCAGAGAAGTGTGGAGCAAGAAGAAAATAAATGGAAAGTTAAGGTTGATGAATCACAAAAGACTATTAAGCAGGTATTGAAAATAGAAAAACGTAAGCATTAGTTTGAGAGTGTGTGGTCTAGACTAGCAGCAGCAGCAGCATCACCTAGGAATATGTGAGAAGTGCATGGTCTTTGCCCTTCCCCAAACTTTGGAATCTGAAATGTGTAGGAGTGGCAGCAGTTTAATCTAATGAGCCCTCTGGGTTTCTGAGGCCCACTCATGTTTCAAAGTCACTTGTAGAGTATGACTGAAGGGTGATAAAATAGAATGTAAAATGCTTTGGAAGTTACTCTGTGATACCATATGGTGAAGAGTTTTGGGTTCAAAACTAGTTTTAAAACATTAATATTAATCCATGATATATAATATTCAAGAAAAGATTAATAATTCATTTTTATGTTCATGGGACCTCAGTGTTATTGTGTAGTCCTAATTCTTATGTTTTAAATTCTTTAAAAACTCAGTATGACTTTAAATGAGACACATTTCAAAACCTCTGTAATGTCTTTTAAATGATTCAGAATTGTACAAGGTATAAGATGTGTATCCTTGGTGGTTTGCTTGGTCTTATAATTGTTTCACATTTCAGATGCAGTCATCATTTACATCTTCAGAGCAAGAGCTAGAGCGATTAAGAAGAGAAAACAAAGATATTGAAAATGTATGTTGATTATTTGACTTGTAACTTATAAACTAATATTTGACATGGATTGTCCAAAGATCTGTATTTTTAAAATTTTTTTCTTAAATACTTTTTTAGTTGTAGATGAACACAATATTTTTTTATATTCATTTGTTTTTATGTGGTGCTGAGGATCGAACCTAGTGCCTCACACATGTGATATAAGCACTCTGCCACTGATCTACAGAGCCAGCCCCAAAGATCTGTGTTTCAAGATAATTTTTATCTAAAAATGATCAAGTTATGTTCTTAATATCTCAGGCAGTGTTTGAGTTGATATAATTTCATATTCCTAAAAGTCCTAACTTTTCATTGTGGAGAAACGTCATAAAAGGAAATCTTTAGTGTGTTAACTTTTCCTTCTTTGTTTATTGCTAGCTGAGGAGAGAACGAGAACATTTGGAAATGGAACTAGAGAAGGCAGAAATTGAACGATCTACCTATGTTACAGAAGTCAGAGAGGTACTTTAAATAGAATTTTTTCATCCTTGCTTCTCAATTCAAATTAAGCTTATAACAGAGTGATAAAATATTTCAGTATGAGTTTTTTGTGGAAGAGCTTCCGAGTAGTATACAAAACATGGGATATCATAAGGAGATCAATCTTAAACTCTAAACTTCATTGCAGCTGAAAGATCTGTTGACTGAATTGCAGAAAAAACTTGATGATTCATATTCTGAAGCAGTAAGACAGAATGAAGAGCTAAATTTGGTAAGAAGCTTGTTCTCCACTGGGTATCAAGGAGGCTCTGAAAACACTTGTATTGACATGTGGAGAAACCATCCAAACTTATTCTTTGCTAACCATCTTTAGCTTGGCATTTTTTGTAAGTTTAAGATAATCTTTATAATCTGATGATTCTTCTTTCTTAGCTCCTAACAATGGCATGTTTGGCTTCCAGCTCTTTTTCAAAGTTTCCTTCATTTTATAAAGCCTCATTTCTCCAACCACAATATTTTCAGTGAATAAAGAAACGAAAGTTTGACTGAGTTTTGAAGATTCTCTTCTTATTTTTTTAATATTATTTTTATTTGTAGTTGAACACAACACCTTTATTTATTTATTTATATTTATTTTTATGTAGTGCTGAGGATCAAACCCAAGGCCTCACACATGCTAGGCGAGTGCTGTACTGCTGAGCCACAACCCCAGCCCGAAGATTCTCTTCTTTAACTACAATAGTTAATTGAACGTCTTATTTTCTAATCTGGGAGAAGATACATGCTCTTTATTCAAGGACAGAAACCTAGTTTCTTGTTTTAACTAGTCTTTCTATAAACTACAAATAACAAAACATTATAAAATTCCTTATCAACAAATTACTTAACACATAGTAGTCCACACAATATAGGTTTACAGATGACTACAATTAGCTAAATGTCTTAAAACATATAGTTACCTGCATTCCCATTTTTCAGTTTCTAGAAATTTATACTTGTTATTGACAGGCTTAGTTTTTATATGAAGTTGGCCATCTTACTTTGTTTCAAACAATAATCATTCTATTTTCCTGTGACTTAAAAGTTGTTACAGTATGGAGTTAGATTTTTTTTTAAAGTACCTGAACATATTTTAGGAAGATTTCAGTAAGTTTCTCATCAGTACTACTATATAAACCAAGTTAAAACTTCTTAATTCATTTGTGATTATTCTTCTATGTTATGACAGTGATTTATGAGAATCAGTTTTTTGAGCTGGGCTATATGAGAAATTATTTCTCAAAACACACACATCCCTTTTTTTTAAATAAAATATCTTTTATTTACCCATGCTTTATTTTAATTGAACTCATTCCCACTGCTGTGTAAGACTGGATCTGTTCATATGTTTTATCAGGATTATGATATGCCACAGTTGTAAGTCTTTACCCCATAATAATGTTTTTTTTTTTTTTATTATCACTTCTAATTAGCTGTAAAGTGATTTTTGCCTTTTAACTTTAGTGCTCAGTGGCTGATTCAGCCTCTATCTTGTAACGAGGATTACAGCTACATCTCCATTTAGCCTGGTGTTCTCTTTTGTAATATTTTTTTTGCCCCTTTACAGTTCTGTCAAAAAACCATTTCACGTGGTACTTGCTTTCATTTTTTTCCCCCTTATGCTTGAGTTTGAAATCTTATTTTAGTCTTGGTTTGCTCAGGTTAACTATTGCCACATTTTAAGATAGAATAATTTTTGTTTGCCTGTACATACTTTGTGTTCTTGGACCAAAAGATTAATCTCTCTGACATAAGTATTAAACACAAAGTTTAGTAAAGAAGCAAACACTACTTTGGTATTTAAGTTGTACCCCAAATACAATTTCCAAATGGAATGCTCTCCCCACCTGCCCAGTAATTCTCCCTCCAATTTTAAATGACAGTATCTTATATTTTTCCCTTTTTAAGTCTCCAGAACTGTTTGGACAGTTATGCCTATGGGTGCAAGACAAAAACAGTTAACTTGATTAAGTTTAAAAAGAAAGTTATTGTTGGGCAGCATAGTTCATTCCCCTCATATTTTATTCAAATAGTTGTCAGGGAAGAGGCATTCTATATTGGCACTAGAGTTTTATAGATTTTTATAACTCGAAAAGTTGGTTATTAAGAAGTATGATCTTGCATTGCTTTTTTTAGTCAAGTCTTTACTGGATGATCAACATTTAAGTTCTTCATTTTACTGGATTTGTAATCTTCTATTCAATGTCTTTAAAAATATCATACAATTGACTCTTTAATTGAACTATGTAGATTAAGAAAGCCTTTAAAAATTAATTGGTAACATTTTTATTTGCCTTTTAATTTGGAATGATTTCAATAACTTTGAATAGTGACTCCTTTAAAAGGCGCTTTACAGGAATTTGATTTGTTTTTTGCATTTGTAGTTTTCTATTTCAAACTTTAGTTCATTTCTATAGTTTTTCTTACGTGTAGCTCTACAGATGGAAACCTCCACTGCTTAGCTTTTCTGTACATCTGGTGTAGCATATTGGCTAATCCACTGTGCATAATAACTGTTAGTGATCCTGTTCTTTCATACTCTTTCTAAAGTCCTAGCGGTATCGGTATAATCAAAGAAGCGTGCAAATTAAGTTAATTGTGGTGTTCCTTTATTTTTATTTTTTTTACAGTTGAAGACCCAGTTAAATGAAACAGTCATAAAACTTAAAACTGAACAAAGTGAAAGACAGAAGGTAGCTGGTGATTTACATAAGGTAAGGCTGCTTGACATGGAGACACAATATTGTGAGCCTGTGTTGTGCCTTGTATCTTAAGAAAACACAGTTAATTTTGGAGTTTTTCTTTTGTATCCTTATAAATTGAAGCTGGCTCTTTTTATAGTTTTGACTTATTTTCCATTATTTTTAATTCAGCTCATTTCATCACATTTTATAATTATAAAACAGTAAAAATTTAAATTTAATTATATAATCAGATTACATCCATATTTTTAAAATTGGGACTTCACATATGTAGTCATTTACAAAGTATACATCTATTGATCTTTATGGGTAAAACTGAAAGATGTCTATATTTCTGTTGTTTCAGAAATTGCTTTCATTTATTTCTTTGTACAAATACATATTTCTTAATCTCATAATAAATGGATGATTTTTTAGGGTTGCATATTTTATTATTTTTATTAGATTTACCGTTTATTTGTATTTCTGGTGTGTGTGTGTGTGTGTGTGTGTGTGTGTGTGTGTGTGTGTGTGTGTATACTGAGGGCTGAACCCAGGAGTGCTTTACAACACTCAACTACCTCCCTACATCTGCACCCCTTTTTAATTTTGAGATCAGGCTATGTTAAGTTGCTGTCTGGCCTCAAATTGGGGATCCTCCTGCCTCAGTCTCCTAAGTTACTGGTTTATAGGCTTGTGCCACAGCGTCCATCATGAGACACTTTTAGTAGTAAAGTTCATATGTGCTTTAAAACTGTGGTAGTGTTTATGGGAGATACAGTCATTAACAAAGCAAGTATGTCACTTTCTTGGAACTGCAACATCAAGGGGTATGCACATCTTTAACTCCCACCCTTCCAGAATTGGGGTTTGAACCAGGGATGTTCTACCACTAAGCTATATCTCCAGACTTCTTACTTTTTTATTTTGAGATGGGGGTCTCCCTAAATTGCTAAGGCAATTTAAATTTGTGATCATTTTGCCTCAACCTCTTAAGTCATGGTGTGCTCTGCCACACTCAGCTTAAATTTTGATAGTTACTATAAATTGATACCCCCCAATCCTATAGTGATTTATATTCCTCCCTGCAAGTTCTTGTTGCCTTATACCCTCACCAGTATTATATACTGTCAAACTAGTCTAATAGATTTTTTATAAATATTTTATTTTTAAAAATATTACCTTTTAAAGTAGGAAAGGAGTATTTTTGATGGTTCTATATGCTTATAGCTTGTAATTATTGTTATGTAAAAGTTTAGGAATCCAGAATTGCTTCACATTATTTTAATGTAGGAAAAAAAATGTGAATTTAGAGAGTTTTAAAGTACAAACCTTGATACGTGGTATACTGTCAGGGTTGAGCTGTGAATTTTTTTGATGTGTTCTAATTTTTGACCCCTGAATCAAAATAAAAAATATGCAGTTTTAATCTAGCAGCATAGTTTCTTAGAAAGTACTTTAAAGATATTAAACAGATGCTCAAAGATTTGGATAGGCCATGTTATGTATGATGGCTAAAATGGCAATGATAGGTTTATCAGTTACCTGTCTTGATTTACACAATAGATAATGTATTTCTGTGCAACACTCAATTGAAAATGCATATATATGTTGACTGAAAAATGTTAATAAAACACTTTGTAAAACAGAAAAGTAAAACAGCATGTATGTTAAAATCCATTTATATTAAAATTTCTGCCAGTTTCCTGTAAGCACAGATTATGCACAGAGAGGGATCTAGATTAGGAGTCAGAATATTGTAGGATGTGTGGGCCATATGTGGTTTCTCTCAGATGTTCTCTGTTTCTTTTTAAAAAATATTTAAAGATTTAAAACATTTTCAGATGTGAGCTGTACAAAAAGTCGACTAGAATTGACTGACCCCAAATCTGATTCTAACCTAAGTATCGATCATCTTTCTTTCTATTTTTAATTTCTTCATACAGTTTCTGGATTTGAACTTTTTGAAACAGTGAGCATGTGTTCTTATAATCTGGTGGGGGAATGTAGCTATTTTCATTTTGATGCCAAAATTCTACATTGTCTTGAGAGGAGTGGTTTTTTGTTTTTTGTTTTTTTGGTGGTATCCAGGATTGAACTCAGGGACACTCCCCCCCCCCCCCCCCCCCCCCCCGGGCCACATCCCCAGCTCTGTTTTGTATTTTAGGTAGAGACAGGGTCTCACTGAGTTGCTTAGCACCTTGTCATTGCTGAGGCAGGCTTTGAACTCTTGATCCTCCTGTCTGAACCTCCTGAGCCCCTGGGATCACAGGCATGTGTCACTGCCCCTGGCTTGAGAAGAGGTTTAATGTTGTATAAAGTATGTAACAGAATCACTCATTTTGTATAAATTTATTTATTGGCTACTATATTGCTTTCCTTGCAGGCTCAACAGTCACTGGATCTTATCCAGTCCAAAATAGTAAAAGCTGCTGGAGACACTATTGTTATAGAGAATAGTGAAGTTTCCTCAGAAACGGTACATATTTTCTTTAACCCAAAATCTCTGTGCTAATATCTTGTAAACTATGTGGAGATTAAATATTTGCAAGATCTGTCTCTGACCAGAAAACTATTTTCATCAGATATTTTGTGTTGTTCTTTGTGTTGTTATTTTGATTACAGAACTGAGGATTGAACCCCAGGTTTTGTGCATGCTAGGCAAGTGCTCTACTACTACTTTGCTTTTAGTTAAAAGTCTTTTCTTCAAAGTATCACCTCTCAAATGCACTGATTTGATTGATGTTTGTTTTTACTGTTGCCTAGTGACATGTTAATTTTCATGGTTTGAGTGGAGAAAAAGAATGGTATAATGCTTATGGGTAAAGCCTCTGGAGTTCGACTGCTTGTGAATCCTGGCCTTGTGACTTCATACCTTCATGTGTAATTTTGGGCATATTGTTTCATTACTCTGTGCTTTAGTTGCCCATCTAAAAAAGGCAATGTAAATAATACCCTGTAATAATAACTCTATCTTGTAAGGTTGTTGAAGGAATAAACGGGTTAATACTTAATATATCTAAGATAGTGAGTAGCAATGCCTGGCATCCAATAAGAATTCAATATATGTTAACTGTGACTTGTTCGACTCTGCTCTTTTTTTTTTCCTGAAAGAAAAAAATGGATTTATTTCTGATATTCATAGATTACAGATTTCTTCGTAGGTGGCTAAGTGAGAACATATTTTGCAGCATAGGTTTTTTTTTTTTTTTTTTTGCCAAATAGTTGGCACTAATAGGTAGCAACCAACTTTTCTCTATGTGTTTTTTGCTGTTGCTGATTTTCATGTATGTTTTCAGATTTTCATGTTTGTATTTGAAACAACAATACAATATTTTCTGATTTTGGTTGTACATTCCTTTTCCTTGTGTTGGAGTTCATCACTTATATCTTCTTTTCAGGAGTCTTCTGAAAAGGAGAAAATGTTTATAAGTCTAAATCAGACTCTCACACAGTTACAGCAGTTGCTACAGTCAGCAAACCAACAGCTCACAAAGGAGAAATAACACTACCAGGCCTTGGGTAAGGAGAATTGAAGTTCCACTGTCTATTTAAGGATAACAGACATAGTGAAGGGAGGGTGATGTGTATTTACCACAAATAAAGGAAACTCATCATTTCACTAAAGGGAATATTCATTCTTTATCTGTCTTGGAAGTTTCAGATTACAGCCTGTTTTTTTTCTTGGAGTTTTGTTTCCCTCTTGTGTATATTTTAAAGGTCTTTCATCTTGGAGGGGGAGAAATTTTTTATTTTTTGCCTACTTTGACCTTTTTTCAAACTCTGTTGTCACTTGGCTATCAGGGTATGGGCATTGCCATAATGCTTATAACTGCTTCATTAATTTCTTATGATCTTAGTTCATATGAACTATTTGGGTGATATTTTCTTATTTCCCCTCTGTTTATGACTTGGTAAAATGAAGTGACCATAACATTTTTATTGACGTAAGATTGCTGATCTGAGAATCAAGTCATTACAATTAATTTTTACATGAAAAAAGAACACACAAAATTGATTATGCCTAAGGTATGTATTAGACTTCCATTCTTTTTTGTAGTTGGGCACAATACCTTTATTTATTTTTATGTGGTGCTGAGGATCAGACCCAGGGCCTCATCGTACATGCTAGGCGAGCGCTCTACCACTGAGTCATAACCCCAGCCCTACTTCCATTCTTTTTTTTTTTTATTAGTTATTGGTGGATCTTTATTCATTTATTTGTTTATATGTAGTGCTGAGAATCAAACCCAGTGCCTCACACATGCCAGGCAAGCACACTACCATTGAGCCACCACCCCAGCCCCTAGACTTCCATTCTTTAGGTTGGAAGCTGTTTTACTGAAGTTGGTCTTGGGGGTAATCTAAGAAATCTATTTTTTAACACCTGAAGTGAGAATTTTAATTGAGGATAAATAAATCCAAATGAGCTTTTATTGTCTATATTACCTTAGAAAGCTCCAGTTGATTAGCACTTAAAAATGACTTGTGTTCTAGCTGGTGAGTATACAGGTTTTGTTCTTGTTATTTGGATTTTATTGCTTTATAAATGATTCAGGTCACACTGCCTAGGGTAGAGTATTCACATATGAACTAAGTATCCTTCTTTTGAGGCGGGCATACTGTTCCACTTTTAAAGACTTCTCATCCTAGGACCAAACTGAGCATATGTTGTCTTTAAAATGCTAATTCAAGTCAGTTAACTCTCAGAAGACTTTCCTCATTCTTTAACCTATCAGCAAAAGTAATGACTCTTCTTTCCATCTTTCATCCTTGTAAAATGACCTCTTCAGTTTCTTGAAGTCACCCTTCTGCTGCATTCTCCTGTTTTCAAATTGTGAAACAACCTGGCTTCATGGGAAACTCTTCTGTCTCACCTTCCCATGACTGCTACCTTACTCTCTCTTTATGGTCCCTTTGTTCAGTATTGAAAACATGCTCAGCGTTTTATTTTAATCACATTTTTCCTTCTAGTCAGCACCCTAATTTTTCACTTCACCTTTAACAAGGGATTCTTAAAATAAGAAACTCTCCTCGCAGTATATGTGCAACTTCTTTCCTTGCTGTTAGTTCTTATATCTGTTCTAGAATGGCTTCTCCTAGTCCAGTCCAAAGAAACCACTTTTGCTAGCATTGTTAGTAATATCCTAAACCTGGATCTAATATTAATATAGAGCCCTTCTTTGCATTTAATAATACCAAAAGTTTATTAAATATGCTCAACGTTCTAAAGATAGCCAACAGGCCTTTGTGTTGTAAGGGAAGGGTTTTATTTGAGGAGCGCTTTTATAAGATTGTCTTTTATCCCATGCCTTTAGACCTTATTATTTATTTGAGGCGGGGATAGTTGTAAATTTCAATCTCTCCTTTCCGTGCTACTTACTTGCTTTAGGTTTATGTTCTCTTGAATAGGGCTAATAAAAATGGTTCCCAATGTTGTTCTCTTAAATAGTTTCTAATAGGACTTGGCTTACATTATTAATTTTTTTACCTGAAAACTTTTGAATCCTGACAATTGTCTTTTTTGGAGGGGTGGGTACTGGGGATTGAATTCAAGGGCATTTGACCACTGAGCCACATCCCCAGCCCTATTTTGTATTTTATTTAGAGACAGGGTCTCACTGAGTTGCTTAGCGCCTCACTTTTTCAGAGGCTGGCTTTGAACTTGCAATCCTCCTACCTCAACCTCCTGAGCTGCTGGGATTACATGTGTGTCACTGGCTTGTCTTTTATTTTGATTATCATTAGTGTGTATTTCTTTGAGCCTACTTGAAAGGACTGAGCTAGATCAAATGGAATTTGTATACAATGAATGTATTCAGATTGCCTTTCGTTGCTTTGTTTTAAAATGAATTTCTTTCTGATCTTTTACAGAGTGAAGTGACTGGGAAACCATTCGTTTGAGGATAACAGAAGGCATTGTATTATATTTTGCCAAATTAAAGCCTTATTTATGTTTTCACCCTTTCTACTTTGTCAGAAACACTGAACAGAGTTTTGTCTTTTCTAATCCTTGTTAGACTACTGATTTAAAGAAAAACATTTAAAAAAAAGCCAACTCTGTAGACACCTTCAGAGTTTAGTTTTATAATAAAAACTGTTTGAATAATTAGACCTTTACATTCCTGAAGATGAAATAAACATGTAATCTTTTACCTTATTTTGCTCAATTAAATTGTTCAGAAGATCAAAGTGATAAAGACAATGTAAAATTTAACATTTTAATACTGATGTTGTACACTGTTTTACTTAACATTTTGGGGAGTAACTGCCTCTGACATCAACTCAAGAAAACACTTTTTTGTTGCTAATGTAATCAGTTTTTGTAATGGCAGTCAGCAAATAAAGGGTTGCTTATTATTCAAACTTGACTTATTCTAATTTTCATTGAGCTTTAACAGATTGCATTAGCACTACAGATCAACATAATATAGAACACAATAATTAATTGTAATCATGGAACAAGATAAGATAGGTCTTGTTCCTGTGACCTTTCTAATTGGAGCTCTGGGTCCTCTCTGCTCTGCTATCAGCTGTGGCCCAGCATAGTGGGGGCTACAGAAAGGATGGGGCAGGCATTTAGGGTTTCAGACTTAGTATTTCACTTCTGATAGAGAAGATCTAGTTTATTTTTATTATTAACTTTTTAATTTCCCTTTTTAGGCAGTATATTATATAGTTTATGTGTTACCTTTTTTACGGAAAGTTTTTTTTCATTATTGGATGAAAATGCTGCTCTCTTCAGATGTTAATAACCATTGAGAAATACCTCATTTAGAATTGAAGTGTCTCTTAGGCTATATTATGGCATCATTGCTATTTATTCAACATAACAGCCACACTTCTACCATAGGGTCTTTGCATTTTTCTGTTTCTCTCTTTAAAACTTTTTTCTTTTTTATCATCTTTGGTTTGCTCCTTTACCATTTTGAAATCTGCTTAAATGCCACTTTTATTCATGAGGTCTTTGCTGACTAACCTATATTCCCCCCTACCCTCCCTATTCTGCTTTATTTTTATCTATGATATCTGTAGTCTTATAATATATACTTGGTTCCTCCTTATTCCTCTGTGAGGGCCAGACTTGGTTTCTTTGGCTCTGTGCTGTATTTTTTTTTGTTTTGTTTTGTTTTTAGTATTTATTTTTTAGTTGTAGTTGGACACAATACCTTTATTTATTTATTTTTATRTGGTGCTGAGGATTGAACCCAGGGCCTTGCACATGCTAGGCGAGCACTCTACCGATGAACCACAACCCCAGCCCCTCTGTGCTGTATTTCTAGCCCTAAGAAAGTGCTAACACTTAATTGTGCTCAAATGTTAAATGAATGGATGAAATTCATTTTTTTGATTTGAGGATTAACTGAAATAGGGCCTGGTAACTTTTCTCTTCTTAGCACACATACCAAATAACATTTCTAAAGTAGGCAGAGATGAACTGAAGAGGCTGTTCATGGCCAGTGCTTAGCCCTTGGCTGAGTGCTTGCAGCACACCACTGGGAAATTGATCTGCAGGCCAGATAGTAAGTACATCATCAGCCTCTGTGTTTTCTTTTATCATTGCCAATAAAGGTGCTCATGCTTCTGCTATCTGAAACAAACAGCTCTTGCTGTCTACTGTACAACCTCTTCTTATTTTGTTTTCCCTTCAGAATTAAGCTTTCAGAAGAATTGGATAATTGTATTATTTTTCAATCTGTTTTGAATTTTTTTAAAACTTAAAGGGACACTGGAGTCACTATCTAATCTCCTGAATTCTGACCCCTCCCTCAACATCACAACATCACAAGTCATGCATCTTTTGGCTGTGAAGTAGCAGGAAGTTCACAACATTATCTACTCCAATTTGGGACAGCTGTAATTTTTAATGGTTCTTTTTTGAAATTATATTAATACTTTCATCAGTCTGTCCTGTTTCTTCACTCCGGAATTACATAGGAAAAGCTTGCCATACTCCCACTCAGTGATTGTTCAGGTATACAAAGGTAGTGCTGTCCATTCCTCTTCGACTTAAATATTCCTAGTGCTTTAGTTTGAGTGAATTATGAAAGACCATACTAGACACTTTATCTGTCTCCAACTGTCTGCCTTTTCTTACTGTCTTATAAGGAGTATGGTTGGGATCAGACTAATTGATAACCCCTAAAGAAAATGGAGAGAGAGGGGCTGGGGCTATATCTCAGTGGTAGAACACCTGCCTCACATTTGTGAGGCCCTGAGTTCAATCCTCAGCACCACATAGAAATAAATTAGGATTAAAAAATCTGAGATTCTAAGTCACCTCCTAGAATTACCTTAACATTTTGAAAATGGAAAGATAGCCATACCTGTAAGGCAGGCTGTACCCTTTGGTTTGTTATGGCAAAACTAGTCAGTTTTTTTGGAGGTCATTGATGCTGTGTTGTAAAGCATCCAAGCCTGAGCTGCCTTGAGATGATGTATTCCAACAGCAAGAAGTTATGGGGTATACAGCTGCAGGCCATAACTGTGCTTCCTACAGAATTTAAGCTAGGGCCAGATTTTCCCCATGTCTTATATCCTGGAACAGTGATTACATAAGGGCACTGCCACTTGTGGAATCTCCCTGCATGTATGGGAGAAGCCAAGACCACCAGAACCTGCAGTAGCAACCTCAGTTAAGGGATGTTTGTACTTGACTCCATTCATCATATGGGTCCCTAGAGAAGCGATGATAATGGAGGATTAACATGATTCCTTGATGTTACCTATCTGAACTGAGTGGGACTGGACTAATAACCCGGTGGACTGAGTTATTAGACTGAAGTTACAGGTAGCTATGGGATCTCTTCAGGGTGTGTATAAGAGGCACAGGAGGCTCCACAGAACAATGTTGAAACCACAATTGCAAAAAGAGACCAAGTTTAGGCTGTTATCCAAACTGGTTGGTAGATTATTCTCATTCACTTAGTTTTTGTAATTTATGTTTTCCTAGAAAAATCAAGCCATTTCATATTCATTGGCAAAGTTCTATTATATAACAGCCACCATCACTTATGCAACATGCCAGACATTTTATAAAGTATTTAACATTAGTGCTTTTCAGTATCACCAGGTTATATTGGGACAGAGGAAGGGTGTTACATCATCCTCTTCATTTTACATCTATGGAAACTTAGTATAATTTCCCAGGGTTTTAAGCTACTAAGTAGAGAATGCAGGATCCTAATCTTCAACCTAAGCAATCTGGTTCGATTGCCTTTTGTAGATAACATGTATGTGTGTGTACACACATATATACACTATACATATGTGTGTGTAATAGAATATTGAATATAATTTAAGTTACTAGAGTACCTTTAAAATTAAGTATACAGAAAAATTTTCATATACATTTCTGATGTTAATGTACCTTTTCTTATTTTCTCTTGATTGTACTTTCTAAGGAATTATCTACCTTGGTTGTTCTCAAAAGTCTAGTCTCTAGTCCACTGGGCATCCCCTAGACCATTTCTAGGGATTTGCAAGGTCAAAATTATTTTCATAAGACATTATTTGCCTTTTCACTGTATTGACATCTGCATTGATGGCCCCTCAGCAAATATCAAACCAATGGCTCTGAAATGTGCTAGTAGCTATTGTATTTTCATGACCCCTCAGTCCCGGTAAAAATAGTATCAGTCACTGAAGAATGCATTTTCTGTTGAAATCCATAGCAATAAGAATGTGATTTTGTCTGTGTGTATGATGAAATATGTCAGTATTTGGAAGATCTGTAAAATTCAGTTAACCAATATTTTCCAAATAACTAAAGCTCAGTTTCACAAAGTCATACAGGAATAAAAGACTCCTGCAAAGAGTCAATACACCATTGAATTTCAGTGTAACACTGCATAAAGTTCACTGATAAGTTTCACACTCCAAACTGGTTAATCTTCAAGAAACTGCTATTTGTGGGCCATTGTTTTGGTCAGCTTTTTCTCTTCTGCGACTAAAAGACTCAACCAGAACAACTGTAGAGAAGGAAAGGTTTATTTGAGGGCTCACAGTTTCAGAGGTCTTAGTCCATAGAAGGCCGGCTCCATTTTCCTCAGGCAGGCCTTGAGGTGAGGCTGAATATCATGGTGGAAGAACATTGCAGCAGAGGGAAGCAACTCACATGGTGATCAGAAAAAAGGGAGACGGGTCTCCACTTTTCCATATACAAAATATATGCCCCATAGTCACACCCACTTCTTTCAGCCACACCCCACCTGCCTTCAATTACCACCCAGTTAATCCCATTAGGAATAAATTAACTGATTGGGTTAAGGCTATAACCCAATCATTTTTTTCCCAAACCTTGCATTGTCTCAYGTGAGCTTTTGGGGGACACCTCACTTCCAAACCATAACAGCCATAGTAGTGCAGGTCTATAATTTCAGCTATTCTGGAGGTTGAGGCAGGAGGATTGCAAGTTTGAGGACAGCATGGGCAGCTGAGACTGTCTCAAAATATTAAAAAGTTAAATATAGCTCAGCAATAGAGCACTTGCCTACCATGTGTAAGGCCCTTGGCAGGGAGGGAGTGTGGGGTGGGTGGGGGAGAAGCCACTTGTTGAATTTGGCTGTGAAATCAAAGGATATCCATAATCATCTGAAATGGATTCCCTTATTCCAAGGACATAAACTGTGTGAGGCTAGATTTTCTAATTCTCATTTTTTTTTCAACCAAAACAACATATCAGGTTGAATGTAGAAGCAGTTGTCTTTTAATAAGCCAGATATTAAAGAGACTTGTAAATTTGTAAAACAATATCACCCATCTCACTGGATCTTTTTGTTTAGGAAAATGAAGTCATCTTGTTATATTAAAATAAATGAACATTTTAAATTTTCCTGGTTTTAATTTCTAGTACATTGAATATTGATAGAAATGTCAAATAAAAAACTTAAAAGTCTAAAGTAGCCTGGCACAGTGGTGCACACCTGTAATCCCAGTGACTCCAGAGGCTGAGGCAAGAAGATCACAAGTTCAAAGCCAGCCTCAGCAAATTGGTGAGACCCTGTCTCAAAATTTAAAAATACAAAGTAAAAAGGGCTGGGGATGTGACTCAGCGGTTAAGCACCCTGGGTTCAGTCCCCAGTACCAAAAAATAAATTGTTAATAAAGTCTAAAGTAGTACTAAGACCAAAAATTTAAGAGCCCCTGGTCTGGCTTCCTCCCCGCCTTCCCCCCCCCCCCCGCCCAATAGATGTAATTATTGGGTAACATGTCAGCACTTTTGTTTGGATGTATTTTGTTTTATAATAAATTTATGTTTTCGAAATTTATTCTTTTGTTCTGCTTTTTGCTAACCTGTCTGTAAAATTTATTTTCAATTCTTATTTCTAATACACTTTTTAAAATTTCTTTTAGTTGTA